AACCTTCCATTGTCCTTATGTTGACAGTACTAGCAGAGGCCAAGGGTCAGATGTCTAAACTCCCTGTCCTGAAGGTGGATTTTTCAGGGTAGAGGTCTTCTAGGATGGTAGATCCAGTGTATGGAAATCTGCTGTTCATTAGTCTCTAGAGGGAGAATGGCCTAACAGATAGGGTCATGGGTGGGAAAGTGTGGATGTTCTTCCATGCTGTCACTGTGAAGTGTGAGCTGAGAAAGGAGTGGCTTTCAGATTTGGTGAGAGATTCAGGCTAACTGCAGAATGGTGCTGCATGTCTTGACCTGACAACTTTAGGGACTGGTGTTTTTCATCACAGAGCAGGTATGGCTTATGGAATGACTTTGCATTCCTGCATCACCAGCTTACATCAGACACCTCCTGGAGTCTGGATTATTTCTCAATGAACATGTACCAGTCTCCATTGACTTGATGTGAGAAAGCTCACGAGCTACAGGTGTCTTACTGTTGCACTCCGTACACATACACACTTCTGCTAGCTTTGTCAGCTGTCTCCACATTCCTACCTCTGCCTGTCTCACTAGTGGGAAGTTACAAGCTTTCCTGTTCTTTTACAGCCAGCCCAGAACCTGATTCTCTGTTGTTTGACTTCTAGAGCTCCAAGCCACGTCTGGACTGCTTGATAGAAGTGTATAAAAGTTGTCAAGAAATCCTGGAGCAGAGGAAGACAGCTCCACAGTCAAGTGGAATAAAATAGCTGAAAAAAAACCCAAACAAGGGAGCAGACTTCCAGCAGAACTCAGAGGGACCCATGGAAAAGCAAGCAAAACCACCCCATGGCTTTCATTTATTAGATGAGTAGAAAGTGGTGCAGTGATGTTAGGGCTAAAGGCCTGCACAGCTTCATAGAATTGTTAGAGAAAATGTCAGCTCAAGCACAGAAGTGAACCTTGAAATCCTCTGCTATGAAGACAAGTGAGCAGAACTTTTTAGGCTTAGACAGAAAAGAATTACGGAGAAATGGGGCAGAGGGAGACAAAAAAATGCATTGATTGTTTACTTTTTTGTGCATCTGAAAATTATGCTAAAATCATAATGTAACTTTGGCTGGACTGCCAAAAAGATGCATTCTTTGGTTCCTATTTAACCCTTTGTTTAAAAAAACCACTCTAAATACCAAAGCTGTTGTGTAGGCTGGGATGGCAAATTACCAATCACAGGAGAATTTCATAAGGACAATTACAGAAAATGAAAACATACTGTTGCACTCAGTTACGTTTAATGAAATAAACATAAAAGAGCAGACTTACCTCTTCAGGGATCTGCTTGAAAGAGTCCCATGGGATGGGGTCCTAGAGGCAAGAGGGGTCCAAGAAAGCTGACTGATAATTAAGGATCATTTCTTCTAAGCTCAAGAACAATCCATCCCAATGAGCAGGAAGTTGAGCAGAAATGCCAGGAAGCCTGCATGGATGAACAAGTTGCTCCTGGCAAAACTTGAACACAAAAATGAAGTATACAGAATGTGGAATTAGGGACAGGTAACTTAGGAGGAATACAGCAACACTATTCAAGATGTGGTTAGGACAGTTAAAGACTGTCTGGGGATTAATCTGTTGAGGGATGTCAAAAGCAACAAGGATGGCTTCAGTAAGTACTTAAGTATCAAAAGGAATACAGGGAAAATGTGAACCCATTGCTGAATGAGGCAGAGACCTGGTGACACAGAACATGGAAAAGATGTGGCATTAAAAGGGCCACATCAATTACTCCAAGAATATGAGGCAGCTTGGAGGCAGATGTGTTGTTGAAAATCATGGTAATGACAATGTGAATAAAGCTTTATTGATCTGTGCTCTTGGGAGTAACTTAAAGTTGGGAAATTCTTCTTTGTTGATAAGCTAAAAGTCACTGTAACCCTTAGCTGGTATTCTTCTCTCTTTTTTTTTTTTTTCCCATGACTCCTTAGAAATATAACTGAGCTAAACCCACAAGTTGGCAGGAGCCTGGGGTCATGCTTCATTTGCATACAATGCTGTATTGTGCTTGTCTGCATTATCTGTAAATAAAACGTGTGTCAACATACCATCATGCAATAGGGTAGAGATAAGGTGATTTGGTTTTCTACGCCATGCAATAGGGTAGAGATAAGGTGATTTGGTTTTTTTTCCCGTGGTGCCATGAGGTTTGAAAGACACAGGTTAGCTCATGTCACAGGAAGTATTCTGGTTGTCCAGGTGAAAGGCAGCAGCTTGGGGATGTGCCACTGGCTTTTGTGTCAGAAAATAAATGATGTCTCAACAGAATGAACGGAGTCTTAGGCTTAAGAGTGTGCAGTGAATGCTGACTATGCTATAAAAATGCCATGAAGTCCTCAGAATGTGCACTGAAGAAATTACCAAGAAGCTGTGTCACAGGAGGAACTCTGAAAGATTGCTTTAGCAATCTTTTGAAGGAGTGAACATCCTGTGCCCATAGTTTAGTCATCCACTGAAGCTGAGAAATCAGCAGAGAGAAACAGGAATCAGACTAGGGCAGGTTTGCACTAGGTATGTGCCTGGATACCAAACACAATCTTTGTTCATTTTTGTTTACATTGAGAATATTTTGGCTTTTAAAATAGTTTCTTTCATTCTGAGAATAATACAGTTTAATTCATGATAGCTGCATTTTATTAAGAACAAACAGAAATCTCACAGTATATTCCAGGCAGCCTTCTATATACACACAGCAGTTAGGAAAACAAAGGCTTTTGTCATCTCATTCTATGCTCCATCAATAGTCAAAAGCATTGATTAAAATAAAAAACTGTTTTCTCTACCAAAGAATCATACAAAACAGATATCTACACCAGGTGGGTTGTTTGTTTGAAGACAGGTAAGCTATAAATAGGAGGGGTGTATGCATCCATCAGAGTGGGGTGGTCCCTGAAATACTCAAGTATTCGTGAATATTTTTAAGAAATAAGGAAGGAAAAGAAGTTCTATATGTCACGCTTCTCAGTTTAAAGTGCAGTTATGGCAGAAAATGAGCTTCAGGACAGCTCCTGTTTATTTAACATCTCTGCTTCCTGTTTACCCTGGTACGAGTCTCTGAGGACATGAGTGTTAACACTGTAAGGAAATACAGCCTCTGAACTGTGAGCTGGAGACTTCTATGCCTTGAGCACCTCCAGTGCTGATGACAGCTGGGATGTCCCATGGCTTCAGCCTATTCTAAAGCAGCTTTGTCACTGGTGGGATACCAGAAGCAGGCTGCCAAACAGACCTTCAGATACAGGAGAACTTGTTAGGCACAGGTGATTGAGTGAGGAGGAGTAATACTTCATGTATTCAAACTGACATAACTATACTGAGATCACTCTGTGTGTGTGTGTGTGTGAGAGAGAGGAAATACAAACTACTATCAGGATATATAGTCGCTTAAAAGTATCAAAGGGAAAACAAAAAGGACTAAATACCTTCTTAAAATTATTTTTGGCTCAGAAAGCTACCCTCTTCTGTACCTTCAAGGGATGGTCTTTAAATTCATAACAAGTGGCTACATTACAGTATGTGCAAATCAGGTCACTGTTCATACAATCTTTTCCTGTCTTATGTCTGCCATAGTGTTTCCATAACCCACCATGGGGTGGTTTGGGGTTGGTTTTTTGTTTGTTTGTGGATTTTTATTTATTTTTGTTTGTTTTGTATTACAAAGAGCAATTTTTGTCTGTCCCATACTCCTAATTTGTGGCTTTGCCCCCACCTAAGCATGAAACAAAAAGGTACCAGCTTGATGTATCAGCTCCCTTGTGTGCATTAGTTGGATGTTTCAAGGTTGGTGGCAGGTACTAAAACACTGGTATGGTTGGTTTGTTAATAGCTTTGGTTTGCTATTACTGAATTCATTCTAGTGGTTGGGTTCACACTGTTTTAATTTGGGAAAGTTGCCCAGGAATGCATAATTATTATGAAGTTGCACATGGTACTTTTGGAAGTACAGTTATTTTTCCTTAGCTTTTTTAGAATGCTTATCAAAAGAGCTGAACTCAAGCTACGTACATTTAGATTTTTCATGAAGAATTGCTATTTTTCTTTTACTTGTTTAAACTTCAATAACCTTCTCAAAACAAAGTCCCTTTGAAACAGATAAAAAAATTAAATCTACCACAATTCTTTAGGAAAGTCAGAAGAACAGTACTTGAGTACACATTTGCTGACTACCTCCTCCTTGCTTATGGTAGCATGAAGGAAGCAGGAGTTTGAAAGGAGCAGCTTCTGTCAAGTCAGAATGGCAGACCTTTTTTGGGAACAAAATCTGTTCTAGTTGCTGGAAGACAGAAAAAGTACAAAATTTGCTTGTCTTGTCTTCCCTTGTCTGAGATAATGTGCAGTTTCAAACACATCTACAGTGATTAGCAGAAAGTCCTTGAAAGTGCTTGTCTGACAGTGGAGCATGGGACACATTCAGCCCTGCAGCATCAATTTAATGTTCATCTATTGCGTAGAACAGTGTCAGCTTCTAAAATGCATCAGTCCTGTAGGAGCTGACATGCTCTGACGCTGTTCTAGTCTCAGTTGTTCTGAGTCCTCAACATCTAAAGACACTAGGATTCCACTTTCATTTAAAGTTGAAAACATTCTTAAGTACCACTGAACTCTAATTCTATACCCCCTATTTCAGGTCTAATATCACCCTTGACTTGCATTGGAATTATTCTTGTCAGTTTAGTTCCTCTTCTTTCTCAGTAATGTCTTTTTTCATGTCTGGAGCAAGGACTTGGAAAGTTTCTGTCTTCTGCAAGCTGCAAATGTGAGGGATCAAAGAAAATGTATGTGTTTCTAAAGCAAAGCAGAAAGGTATGAGATGGAATAATCAGTGTAAGGAAAGAGAGCAGATGTAATGTAACTGGAGTACTGTGCAGGTAAACAACCTGAGGCATGGTATTTTGGATGGAGTGTGTCATGGAAAGGAAACTCCTGCACAGTCCCCCAAAATAACTTCCCCCTCCCCCCCAAGAGAAAGGACACTGCCTCTACCTCTAAGGAACTTTTGTCTATTATTACGGAAAAAGAATCAGAGTCCACATTAAAGTAGTGGTGTGTAACCAGAAGAATCATAGCTCATTTGGAATGAGCCCTCAGAGCAGGGTGGGCCCCTTAGTGCTTCGGGGCATGTTAGGAAAAAAGCACCGATTTTCAGTCTCCCAGAGCTTCTTAGCAGGTGTTTTGCTTTGGGAGGGCTGTGCAGAAGACAGGAGTGAAGGTGACGAGCGGTAGTTAATGTAGCTGGCAATAAGAAGTGTTGCTTCAACAATCTGGGGAAAAAAGAAAATGATTAACTGTAAGTCAACTAGAGGTAAAAGTGCCCTTTGATTTTTAGAACCTATTTGACTGCCTAACTTTTATAAATGGATTTCTCACATGGAATTGTTCAGTTTTGAAATGAAAATCTGTCTGTAAGAGTTAGGTAAAGTAAGTCTCGTGGTCAAAGGTTCCAGCTTACAAGGGATTTGTTGAATGTGTATAGCTAGTGCAGTACTCACAAGTACCAGTCCCCAGGGCTTTTACAAAACACCCAGTTCTGATGCTGCCAGCTGGAAAGAATCTCGCTTTTCATTTTGTAATTACCTTAGGAACTGCCATTGTGAAGAGGAGCTTTTCAGTGCTGTTTTTTCCAGAACTGTTTTCTTTCATTTGACTGACTACAATCATGAAGTCATCTCGACAGCCTCCAAAGGTCAGCACAGAGGAGTATGAATAAGAGACCTTCAGATGCTGCAGATAAAGAATTTGAAAAAGTCATAGTTCTGTAAAAAGACCAAAATGCCCATCATATAATAATGTATTAATTTATATTGCTGCTTCCTTGCAAGAACACCGGATCTCCAGCAGTAACAGGCACTACAGGCTCTATAGGTAACAGCTGGCAGAAAAAGCTCAAGTAACAATTGCATTTCTGGTTTTCTCCTGGCTCGCTTGATACCTCACTGATTCATAGTCCAAATTTTGTTATATCCCAGATGGTGGTAGCAAAACACACATTACTGAGATTTTGCAAAGATGTATGAGCATCTTTGCTAGCCTACCTTACACTGCAGCTGTAATTTTCCCTTGTCTATGCAGTGTTCAAACATAGCACTGACTTCCATCATCTGACTTTTACAAATTAACTTCTGGATCCATTTGAAGTTAAAGACAAACTTTTAGTGACTTTCAGTGGACTCGGGAATGTCTTTCCGGGGCAGGGTAAGGTATTTTTCTCAACATACCAATGTGTTATAATCCAGTATGCTGATACCATCTTCATTCACAGCTATCCAGACTGGACAGTCTTCCAATGAGGAAGGCAAAATAGGCTAGACAGAAAGAAAATTATTAATTCAGGTATTTCTTGATGACCACAGAAAGATGTTTCTGACATAAATGTTGGATTCTAAGGATAAAGTGATGATGAGAAAGAATCCTATAGGCTTACTGGTGTGACCTGGTTTGATTTTTAAGAGGGCTTTTCTCAAAATTTGGAATAATATTTTCAGATTTACTTACAATTTTCAGAGTAATAGCACAAGAGATACAAGGATAACAAAGGCTTTGAGATTAATTGGATTCCATTGGTGTAGTTAAAATGGAAGGAAATGCTAGGACAGAGCAATAAAATGCAGCTCTGCTCTGCACGTTTTTATGCTGCTCCTGTTGGTCTGTTGGTTTCTGTAACACCAGGGCACCCAGTACCATCACATCAATGCAATTTCATTTCTTACAGAGTCTTACAGACAAATGTGCATCAATTATCTGTTAAAGATGAGTTGTGATGGCTAATGACATAAATCTTTCCTAGGAATCAGCAATTACATGGCTATTGCCATAGGCTTTGCTGCTTAACTGTTGAAAAATTATTAAAATATGCTGATCGTCAGAAATACCAATATTATTTAAACTGTGGGTGGAACTATTCTATATTCTGATTCTTCAGCATCCATTACTTCAAATACCAGTAACTACCTCTGCTTTTACTCCTGACAGTAGAAATAATTATCTTTTCAAAAACTTTTTGTGTGTTTACTCAAGAGGTCCATTTCATCCTTAGACTTTATTCCATAACTACAGCAGCTTTGACTTCAAAGCAAGAGATATGTAACCATGAAGAAGACCTAGCTCAAGCTTCCAACAGGGGAAGTTTCTGCTGGGATCGGGAAGATAGTTAATGCCAAAATAAGATTTCTCAGACAGCCGTCATGTGCTAAGACATCAGTTCAGGCAAGGGTGATAGGTACAGAGCTCTAGCCTGAGATTGACTGAGGGATGGACAAGCTCCTGGGAGAAGTATTCTCTCCAGATATTCTTTGTTCTCCTACTGATGCCTGTGGGCTGGCAGCTTACCCAATACATGCTTCAGCTTTTGTTTCTGCAGCAGGACACTAGCAGTGTTTGCCTCTCTCATGTGGCAAGGAAAGCATCCAGCTCTGTGTCAAGCAGAGAACAGGACTGAAATACCCATTGTCCTTATAGCTAGCATCAGCTGCCAGGTGTGACTTATGGGGGACTCTTCCCTTCCACCCCCATGGTGGTATGTAAGTAGTATTTTTTAAACTATCACTGCAGCTGTGCTGACGAGGGAAATTCCTGCCTAAGCAAGCTTTGGCAAGGTTTGTAAGGACAGGTAGTACTCTGTATCACGATCAACTGACACAGCCACGGAACCTTCAGTATTTATTTACTGAACGCTAGCAACCCCTAGTGTTTAGAACATACTTGCCTGCCTTCTTTTTCAACCTATGTGGTACCAGAGCTGTTTCTTCAGAACAGAGTATTGTTCAATTTTTTCCTTTCCTGAAGTAGCAGCATTTTCAACCCAGAGATTGTAGGTATATTTCTGCTCAGGTAGTTCACTCTTGGCAACAGAAAAAGGTGTGGTCCAGTTACCTTAGCAGCAAATATTTTGGCTCCAAAGAGAGGCCATTTCCGGGCCACCGTCAAATAAATTCGAATGCATTCTGGTGGAGAGCATCCCTGCAGCACCATCCACTTCATTGCCAGCCTGTCTGTCAGTTGCCTTTCAGAATCCAAAATACAAGACAGTATTATTTACTAATGTTTTCCAAGGAAAGGTGTGTAAAATTATAACAGTTAATAGATGTACCTCTTTACTCCAAAAGGGCTCTTCTACACAGCTCTTACAGACAAGGCTGTTAGCACTATCAGTTAAAAGGATTGTACAACATGAGTTTATTTTAGCATTTTCTCTACTTCCATAGTTTTTTTATTACTAGTTATACCGTAATGCCCAGGAATCCTACTCACATATGGGTTGCTCACTGGTGTATATATTAAACAACTGTAATTACAAACACTGGGTCAGGTGTTATAGTAAAACCCTGCAGAGCTTGTCTTCATATCCAGTTACACTCTTGCCTTCCTCATACCTTGCTGTAGTATGCTCTATATGGAATGGCAATATATATTAACTCACTCTTGATTTGGCTCACTAGGGTGGTTTGGCAGCTACCTCGCTACATGCAGATGGAATTTGCTCCCAAACGGAGGCAACTGTGTTAGCTACACCACTGCATTCCTAAGTAGCTTAGGTTCTGGAATAAAACCATTCTCTCACTTTAAAACAGAAAAATCCGAGATCCGTGGCAGCATCTGAATTCTGTACTTGAGCTCTCTGCATTGTGTGTGAGAATTTCCAAGTCAGAACATCAAAAAGCCCTACCAAAATATGTCCTATCAGAATTACTGCACGGCCTGAAGCAACTCATATGTGCTGGCACTATGACTCATTGCAAATGTTAGGCATCTGGATTCAATCGGCACTTGGGAAGGGGTAAAACAAAAACTCAGGAAGAGAATTCATCCTAGGCTTAGGTTAATTTGTTGGAACTGAGATGCCTAATTTGGAAGTGAAAGACATAAACTTCTTGTCTAGGGGAAAATTAGTTGGTGATTTGGCTATTTTTGTATTAGTTTTTCTTTTAAGGGAACCTTTTCCTGACACTTGTGTTTTGTTTAAGTTTCTACATCAAATAATCTTGACAGGGCTCCTTGAAACTACTTAAATATAAGACAGAATTTTGCAAGTAAAAGCTGTTTTCAGTGCAAAGTTTTGAAGAACCAACAATTTACCTGAGCTGTTCAGGAGTAATGTTTTGCTTGTAGTGTTTGGGGTAGAATTTATCTAAGACCTGATGGAGAAGATGCTGCATTTTTAATTGTGATGTTCCCCCAGGACTTGAAGATCCTGATCGATCCAAATCCCCATATTCCACCTAAGACAACATTATTATTTATAGTGCAACAGAACTATGGTGTTTTTAATGCACTAGAACATTCCATGAATTCCCATACCAATAACTACTGTGTTTATTAGTCATGCAAAAAGACATAGTTAGGCTGGGGAATTTTGTTTACAGATTTACCATAGTAAATATATACAAAAAAGAACTACTGAGAACATGACTGCCCAAGGAATTATTTACTGATCTAAGAAAGTGAAACAAGATCTCAGCCAGATACTTGTAAGGAGACACATCTGTATAACTGCCAGGCTTTGGGGGTTAATTTCAACTGGCCAATTAAAACAACAGCATATTTGGACCACATGCCCAGGTTATTCATCTCAGTTTACACTGCTTCAACAAATACAACAATCAGTTTCAGCTCAGTAAGAAATTATTATCCTGCTTATCATGGCCACAACCCACATTGTGTGTTTTATGTGGTAAAATGCTAAATGCAAACCTGGAGGTCTAATGGAGGATCCTACAACATGCTCATCCTGAGTAAGAGGGTACTGGCAGTGCAACAGAGAAAGTTTTTACTCTTAATGGAATTCTAGCAGTGGTATTCTAGGAGTGGTACTATTTCCAGATCTCTGCTAAGGTACTAATTGGAGCAGTTTAGGTGATATTCCAGCCTTGCTGTTTTTTCCAATATTTTTCTTGAGAAGTAAAGGACAGGCACTCCTAGAGCAAATTTCCCTACAGCAAAAGGTGTTCTAACATATGTATACTGGTATAATGTATTTGGCATGATGCATCTCTGTATGTGTGGTAAGAAGAAGCACTTTTGATGTAAAAGGTAACTGCTTAGTCAAAGATACTCAGTGTACAGCTGAAGGAAGACAAAAGAAAGGATTTCTGCCCACAGCCACACTCACCTGAGCCATCAGAGCCACCATTTCCAGAGCTAATTCCTTATTAACAGGAAACCTTCCATTGGCTATTTCATTGCTGACTTGGAAGGCCAGCAGCAACCGCTCACGGTCTGTCTCACCTTTGGCCTGGCTCCGAAAATATAGTCTAAAAAGTAGAGATGATTGTAAAGGTAAAAAGACATAGTGAACTGAAAGTACAGCTGGGAACTTTAATCAAGGTGAGGCAAAATAAAAGTGGGTTATTCTTTTTTTTATTGAGGGGCTACTGGACAGATTTGGAAGCTGAGATGCTTACATTATGAGCAAAATTTGGGCAAGGAGGCTTGAAACAGCCTTTCTAGCTTTGGAAGCTCTTTGAATTCTGTAAGCCAACCACTTCTAGACAGTGAACCCTTATTAAACACAGTGTCCATTGGTCCCCATCAAGCACAGACAGGCGATCTTTAAGTTATGGCCTTCTGTGCTTATCACAGAAAAGAGAACTACCTCTGTTCTACATGTATAACTTTCTACAAGACAGCCTTATAGACCTGCCACCTTGGATTTGACCATTTACACTGAAGACTTATTAAAAAAGTCTTCAGTTTGCTTCAGCAGGAAGTAAGAGACTCAGCAGGCTTTATTTCAAAACATGCTTGTACATCAAAGTTTCTTACTATTTTTTATTCCATCCACACTTGCAATTTTTTGATGTGGTATAGCAAGATTACTAATGGAGAATGTTTGGAGAATGCTTCCCAGAACCATTCCTTATGCATGCCAACTTACAGTGCATACCACCTAATTCAAATGTTAATTTAAAGCTGCATCTATGGCTATCTATTCCACAATACTGCATGAGATATTAATTCCAGTGGATCAGTTTGTTTATTTTTATGTCACTTTGAGATTAACAACACCATTAGGACCATATTGACCTGACACATTTCTTATCAGAGTCTCTGGTATTAGAACAGCCCAACCTTGGAAATACCTTATCAAAACATCCTTGCCATCCAGTCTGGGCACATTCCAGTCCAACAAAATAATATTTGTTTCACGCCTGAAACAAATACTGCCTTCAAGGTCAAAAGCAGTAATTTCTGCTTCCACCCCTATTATACCAACTAACAAAGTTCACAGAAATTTGTTTCCACTATTACAGTCAACAAAATCTTCATATGTTTAATACAGAACTTTGTCTCTTTTCAGTTTTGGAGTAGCCTTTGTTTTGCCTGCACAGAGGATTCAAATGCAGAACACCATTCCTTGTTCTCGTACAGCTCTTGACTCAGTGTAATTCAGAATTCTTGTCTGTATTATGTGATGAACTTGTTCCAGTTTTTTATTTAGATCTTTGTCTTGTACTTTGCTTCTCTACCGTCTTTCATCATCTAACTTTTAACATTTCTTTCTTTATAAAGTTTGGGCACTGCTACTACGTCTCTTCTACAACTCATGTGATTTAGAACATTGTTCTTGTATCTTTTTCATCTTTGTGATTGTTCACTTAATTGCAAGTTTCAGCATATTTGTTTTCACTAGTGATTTTTCCTCTAGGTCTCTCACATTATTTAATTATGTTTTAGGATCTAGGCAAATGAAATTGTCCAAGTATGTCTTATTGTACTAGAGCCAGTTCTTAACTCTTTTTAAGTCTATTCTGCTATTGCAAAGTGGTTTGGGTTTTACCTCTAGGCCATAAGCTTTTGTATATGTAACACACAAAATTCATCATATCTCATGTAGGTTTTAAATGCATCTTAGCTAAAATAGTTTGGGCACTAATGATACTATAAGTTTACTGGTCATCTACAGAGATATATGCAGTCTAGAATATTTTATTAACAGCACTAGTGAGGCCACCTAACAAACAACAGTACCTGTTCTTATAGGTCAACTTCACAATTCTTGTGCCACCTTCGTATTTCCCAGGGTGCAATTCTTTTAAGGCTTGTTCCCATTTAGAAATGACATCACAGATCTTTAAAAAATATGAAGGAGAGAGGAGACACAAACTGAGATGAGATGTATAGCCAAGGCTTGAGGGGAAAGTAAGTGAATGAAGTGTTGTGGAACACAGAAGATTAAAGAAACAGACTGGATCAGCATAAACACAGCCAAAAGTGACAAAACACCTTTTTCTGTTACACAATATGTAAAAATTAAAGCATTCCAACTGAAAACTCCAGCTCTAATGTGCAGGGGGGCATGTTTAAATGAATTCTGGTCTGGTAGTAACTCTTGTGGTTATGTCTACATTAGCAAATAGCAAAGCTCAGGAGGAGCAGATACGCACAGAGAAACACCCATTCCTAAATCTCTATGCCCACACTATATGAGTTTTAAAGGATTTTTCACTGGATTAGCTTTAGTCTGATTAAGTGACCTGAAAGCTCACTACTATTTTGGGTCACACCTTCCAGTTCATATTTCACATAAAAGGAATCAATTTCATGCTCTCAGGTTACTCCTTAATGTGAGTCAAAGCGTGGTTAATAGGAATCATTGGTAGGTTTGCTTCAGAAGTGCCCTCCCAAGCTAGACTAAAGCACTAATGTATCCTCTGAACAGTAGCTGTCTACACGCATGGCTAAACCAAACCCTTGGATGCAAATGTCCAAACTTTGGTCCTGGATTCCAACTTTGTAACTCAGACATATTTTTAGTAATAACATGGTTAATTTGTTTAGTTCCATTCAGGTCCTATTGGTTATTCCAGTCCTTTTCTAAGTGGTTTAATGAAGACCCCTACTTCTCTTTTGATGGCATCTCAATAAAAGGAATGTGAACATAAGAATCCACATGACATACATAATCAGATCTCCAAACCTCTCTTAAGAAGCTATTGAGATTGCCTCGGCAAGTAAATAATAACTAGTAAAAGTAATGCCTTTGATTGCCTCAAGCTCCTCTGATACCTCATCTCTCTAGATGGTGGTCCAATTACAAGCAAAGCTCCAGATTATCTGATCTATATCAGGCCATGAAAGCAAATAATTATTTTGCCAAATAATTTGGCACTGTCTGTGGCAGTTTCCTTTTCAAATCATCTAATTCAAAGTTATTGGTATCTTCTCCCTCTGTTGCCTAATGTGAGATTTTACACTGTGTAACACTGATTGGTTAAGTTCCATAGAGGTATCAGTCTATTCAAAGTTGCCACTACAACTGTTCTTCCATCAATTCTGTATGACAAATTATTCTCCCAGATTTGTACCAAAATCTGATGTGTCTCATTCATGGTGGCTAGCCTACTCAATTAAGGCAGTCATTCAGCTGCAGCATGGGTAAAAATCTCCATATGAAAGACACAGATGTTAATACTTCATCTGCTTTGCTTCTTCCTTGATCGGAGGCACTCTACTCTTAAGCCATACTCAGCAGAGCTTTCTGTGCTAAGTGCACTCATCAACAGTGAAAGCCTGAGTTATCTGGAGACAGCAAGGGGATACTTCATAATCCAATAGATGGAATTTATGTAGACATGCCAAAAGACTCACAGCCTAACATAAATTTGTCTCAATTAAGAGTGTCACATTTGATGTCGGTTGTGATATCATGCTCATGCTGACTAGTTCAGTCATATTTCAATTTTGTCATCAAGACAAATTAAACTTTATTATGTGCTAAAATCCGAGTTAAAGACTTTTTTAAAATTGACCAATTTATCACCTACTAAAATTAGAACTTTCTTTGTATTAAGAAGTATATCAGATTAGACTGAGCTAATTATAGGATCACCGGATCATTTAGATTGGAAAAGACCTTTAAGATCTGCAAGTCCAACCATTAATCCAGCACTGCCAAGTCCATCACTTAACCATGTCCCCAAGTGCCACATCTACATGTCTTTCAAATTCCTCCAAATACCACCACTTGCCTGGGCAGCCTATTCCAATGCTTGACAACTCTTTCACAGAGAAGTTTTGCCTAATAGCCAATCTAAATCTCCCCTGGAGCAACTTGAGGCCATTTCCTCATCCTGTCACTTGTTACTTGGGAGAAGAGACCACCCCCACCTCCCTACAGTGTCCTTTGAGGTAGTTGTAGAGAGCAATAAGGTCCCCCCTTAAACCTTCTTTTCTCCAGGCTAAATGACCACAGCTCCCTCAGCCACTTGTCATATGACTTACCCTCCAGACCCTTCACCAGCTCCATTGCCCTTCTCTGGACACAGTCCAGCACTTCAATGTCTTTGAATGAGGGGCCCAAAACTGAGCAGAGTACTTGAGGTGCAGCCTCAACAGTGCCAAGTACACAGGAATAATTTCTTCTCTGGTCCTGCTGGCCACTATTTATGATACAGGCCAGGATGCCACTGGCCTTCTTGGCCACCTGGGCACACTGCTGGCTCATGTTCAGCTGGCCAATGACCAAGACCCCCAGACTCTTTTCCCCTGGGCGGCTTTCCAAGCCACTCTTCCTGTAGGGTTGCATGGGGTTGTTGTGACCCAAGTGCAGGAATTAGTATCTCATCTGTGAATATTAATCTAGATAGATGTTATCCAACTTTATTTGATCTTGATTCATTAAGAAAAAATTATTAGCTATTTAGCAGTTTATTAACCATTCGGCAATTCTTCAAAGATGTATACTGAAGGTAGCGGAGGGGAAAAATAAATACCTTCATGTTGCCCTGCAAACAATGTTCCAGATTCCTGCCAGAAGGATCATCTGTGAAGAGAGAAAATCCCATGTGGGATGGCTTCCTCATTCCTGTCTCCTGGTTGAGTCGCTGGATGAATTCATCAACTGTTGAAGAACCATCAAAACCTATAACCTGCAATGAAAGAGGAATTAACTGAGGATACAAGAAAAATTCAAGAAACATGACACTGATGGGTATCACAACTAACGAAGGCTGGTTTTCTACAGATTAATGTCTCAGGATTAACTGCCAGCTCCAGTGACAGCACTATTGTCTCCCTTCATACCACATTCTTTCCCATATTGAGACACTTTTGACATCTGTCCATTTTCCTCAGCTATCTTTTCTTCCTAAGACCTGTAGAGCTGGGGCTGAATTCCTTTCATTTTCTCAGGGAAAACAGCTAAAATGACAAGGAGGAGAAGTAATGTCTGTCTCCCAATATCCGATATGTGTAATTACCATGGTTCCACCCATATGAAGGAGGTAGGTTATGGTGCAGTCCTCTAGTGCCCAGAAGAAGGGCAGCTGTGGTGGCTCACCTGGTAGGTTCCATTCATGAAGTGCACTGGGATGCTGAAGGGGAGTGAGTGGTGGTAGGGATTTCTTAGCAGGATGGACACAATCTCCATCCGGGAGGGCTTGGCTTCCCGCTCTCCAGCCTGCACCGTGCGGTCTACTGATCTCTGGCAGTAGATGGCATACTTGCCTATTTCACTCCTAGGTGAAGAGGTGGAGAAAAACATGAACATGCTCTAAGGACCTGTAAAATTAAGGTAGACAATGGACTCTCCAGGAAGCACAAGAGCATTCCCTACTTCTAGGTGGACTGGACATAATATAGGAATATTCTCTTCTGTATCCTATTGCCACCATAGTATCCATTAAGCCAAGACTTGTTCACCCTCAAACTCGCTGTCATGCCAGTGGAATTTTTACTATTATATCAAATCCTGGTAAATATTAATAATAGATTGTAATGCATTAGTCTCACAGGATTACACAAGTTGTATTTATCAATTTACACGGTTATACAAATTATAAGTTCCATGTATTAACCCTATCTGCCAGACAAGAGACTTGACAGAGATTCAAAGCAAGCTTAGATTTGTTGATAGTTTAATAAAGGATAGGTATAGTTTACTGCCTACTAAAGAGAGTGCTCCATTGAACAGCACCAAAAAAATGTGTCTCTAAAGCCAAGCAGGAACGATCAATTATACCTTTTAAAAAACGTTAAGAATGTATACACTGAATAAGTTTTGAAATGGAAGGACTTATATAGATTTATAATCGTGCTATTACTTTGCGGGGGAAACTAATCCCATTCAAGATGCCCTTAGCAGCTCAGTACATGATTAAACCTCTGGTTAAATCCCTGCAAGCAATATGGAAGTCAGGAGTTCTGGCTTTTCACTGTAGCAATGCATTGCTTACCTCCCCAGTAATACGTTTGGACAATTTTCAAATAGAGAATCTTGCTTCAACAAGAACCTGTTGTGTCTGGCTTCCAAATGCTCCTTAGCCCTGTTGTCTTCTCACCTAGAACTCTGCCCCACTTTACTTCCTCTTTAAGAGACTGGATATACTCTAAGGTCACCTTTCATGAAAAACAATACCTAGAATTAAGATCTAGTATAAGTCTAGACCATAGACATTATGCAGTGTAAACACTCGAGTATCTTGCTTTGCTGTGTGAAACGGAAAGTATATCTATTTAACTAGTCAAGAAACAGCCAAAGAGACATATGTATTCCTAGAGCTAGGCAGAAGGAACCAAGCTGAGTCATACTTAGCAACTCCTCTAAATCTAATGTAAACTACAGATTAATATAGACATGTTTTCATATAATTTCTGGGGTTTTTTTCTAGCCCTAATAATTGTTTCATAGCTGGATTGTGTAAATAAATTTCCTCTTTGCTTCTGCTTAGAGGATATTTGTTGATAACGGTACTTTTGGGCTAAGAACCTGGTAGACCATCAGCATAGTAATGTTTGAAACTGATTAAATAGAGCAGTTTCACAGAGCCCAGCACATCCTTATGAAATTCAGTAGTCCCCCACAGCAGCTTCACTACTGGATTGAATGGGCCAGTCTGGGAGCTGGTAATGCACACAGGTTTGAAGAGATGGTTTCTAATCCTACACAAAAGATCCCTAACATGTTGTCTTAGCAAACAGAGAGAGAACCTGAACATTGAGGAGTGCCCCATATCCATATTTTCACTTTTGCGAAGAAACTGCAAATGTGAGGCAGCATATAAGAAAATAAAAAAGACTTGATAAGAGGACACAGATTTCTCTGAAGTGCCAGGAAACTTGTGGCTTGAGTTCCAAGACAGACTTAGAATTATTATTAGAATATGAATATTTGTTTGAAAGGAAACAACTCTTTTACCTATGGCTTAACAAGAGTATATTGTTGCAACAAACAACTAGACATCTCTGTCTGTGACCTTCCCCCTAAGGACACAGTGAGATATGTTGAAGATGAGATCAGCATGGAAACAAACTAAGAGCACAGCATGAACAATGGAGAAAAAGTTACTGCCCTTACTGTAGATCTAGTACTGTTTTCTTTCAAGGGAAAATGGCCACAGAAAACATTTATTTCAGTTTTTTTAGTTTTTCCTAACTTTTTACAGTTTCCTGAGATGTCTTCTGCCTCACTTTTGTTCTGTCAGTATGCCTGCTAACCTGACAGCAGAATGTTATCACCTAATATTTGAATAATTCATACTAAAAAATTACTTTGATCTGTCTTTTATCAATAAAAGAAAGTTGCTGCATTAGGAAAACATGTCCCTATGTAGCTCCAGTTATATCTGCAAAAAGTTCTTTTGCAAATATAGGTCGCTCTGTTTTGTGAACTAGCTTAGTCTAAGTGACAAATTAATGTGAATGACTAAAGGGACACAGCTTTATACCACTGGAAACCTGTCCTCTCTCTCAACATGTTTTTGCAGGTGTGTGTTACAAATGCTTCCCTCTTTATTTGTTGTGGATGCAAAAGGCAGTTGGCTTAGCAGAAGAAAATGCTGTTGCAGTCCTTACCTGGGGTCTGCATGTCGCTGCAAGTGCTGTTTGATGTACCAGAGGAAGTGATGTTGAGGCAGGAATAGAGGAGCACATAAAGCAAGGAGTTGCCAGCACTGTGAACATAAAACTGGATATCATCCTTGTTTTGTATTTTGCTTCAAATTAGACCCATTATTCTTTAACCTGAATTTAATTTCTCATTTGAGCTGGGAATATGATAAATGAGTATGCCCATTCATACTGTAACTTATTTATTTAATTTATCCAGTAATTATAGTGCAAAATTCAGATTTCATGCTTAATAGTAATATTCACGATTTGTGTTCTGTTGATTATCTAAAATGGAAGACAAAATTAATAACATGTGACAGTTATAGTTAGCCAACACAAGCTATGAATTTTGATTCTGAATATGGTCTGAACAGACCATTTGCAACTGGTAAATGGTTACATTTAAACTAAAACTTATTTTGTACATGGTTACATTCTTAGTGTTTTTCTGTGCACACCAATGCTGAGATTCTCCTTCCTCTAGCGCACCTTTAGCGCTAGCACAATTTTGTGAGAACCAGTCCCATTGCTAATTATTAAAAACAAGGAATTAAATAGCAGTATTTGCAGAAGAGGAGCTGACCTGAATGACTGAGTGGTTCTGGGGTTGTCGGCAGCTGGTCTGTTTAACAAGTTGACAGTAAATTTCATTCTGCAGCTCAGTGTGGGTCAAGCAGACCTGCAGTGCCGTCTGGGCAAGCGACACGTGGTAATCAATAGAGGATGCCTCCACGGGAACGTTGATGAACAGCTGACAGGACTGTAAAAGAATGGAAGTTAGTCAATGCCATGAATACAGCAACTCTTCTCTGGTGCTTTCCAGGCCAGGTTCTTCAGATGCGTTACAGACAATTAAATAACCTTGAGAGGAGGAAGGAGAATCAATACTTAATTCCTATTCCTACCTCTTCAATTATGGCAACTAGAAAATTCACTCAATTTCCCCCAGTCTGAAGAACTTACAAGTCAGCAAGAGAATCAAGGGGAAAATGTGCTTTCTGCCTTCCATGCCTGTGCTTTACCTTGCTCACACTGTCCAGTCCTACTGCTGATCTTATACTTGTAGAGTGCAAAAATGCAATCTCCAGTGGCTTCACCACTGGTCTTACTGAGTTTGCCAGTAAACTGTTTCTATTTCCTTCAATCCAAGTACTGGAGAGGAAAGAGGAAGATAAAGCTAACTTTGAAGGATAAAGTTTGTGGGGACAGTACTCCTAAACCCAGATTACACACAAAAAAAATTAAACCTCCAAAGAATAACACCTAATATTCAACTATCCTATTGTAATTAAATAACCCAGCAAGCTTGTCTAAAACAACCAATAGTGACAGTAAATGTGAAAACATGACCAAATACTGTTGTTGCCCCAACAACAGAGCAAAATAACTGAAAATCATGCAATGTCCCTTTAAGTACCTTAAAAAGTTTCAGAGCTTCAGTCTGCAGAGCCTCCGATGGCAGAGTGGTGAGGGATGTGTGCAACCCGTCTTTACTGTAGCACAACATAGGATGTTTCCACAGAGGAGAATCTGAGGTAGGAGATGGGCAAAAACATGCAGTGTCAGAAACAGAAGAAAGACAACAGTGCCGATGTTGACAAGGAGCCTTGCTGAAACGGCAGAGCACCCAAGGAAGCAGCACTGCACTAGGCCATGTTATTTGGTGACACTTCACTGCTTTCAGCAAAGCCTGCCATAGATAAGGAGTCACCGGCAGCATTAGCCATCAGCAGAAAGTATTGCCATCCTCAACTGTGCTATGTCAGATCTTCTCATCAGCTCTTCTGGTAAGAAGCTGTTCAGCTGTGTGTTCAAACCAGAGACACAAACCCTGCCAGGGCAGCTGCCTGCTGGTGTTGTTCTTTTTTAGTGCAAGTCCCTGTTCAACAGTAAGCAAGGTTCACATATAGGTCCAGGAATATGTGAGTGTGCAGGAAAAGAGGATTAAGTACGAATGCATAGGTTAATACATATTTGAGAACATGGTGCATAAATACACATGCATGAGCACGTATCAAAGATGAGGAGGAACAGACAAACATGGATGTGTGTGTAAGGGTTTATACATGCAGACAAACAGATGTGAAGGTAATTGTGTGTGAGTGTATTTAGAGGAAAGAGCATGTGTTTGTATGGTCAAGATTCCCTGGAAAGGAAAATCAAGACCAACAGAACCAAGAAAAAAAAACAACCTCCTTTATGTTCATTTGAATTAACATTACATACATTTCAGAGGCTTTGATAAATGATGTGACAATGAGATGGACTTGTCTGGGAACTAGGGGAGAAGGACATTATATAATATGATGTACTACTGAAATCCCCTTCCCTCACCTTTGGCTGGATTAACACTGAAAGTTGAAATTACTCTTCTTAATGCTTTGCTACCATGGAAGAGTTTGTGGTTTCTACTTACTAGGGTCTCCCTCTGCATCCAGTAGTTTTCCAATGAGTTGCTCGTATGATGTGCCCACTGTGGCATTTCTGCTACCAGCTGCAACGGTCAGATGGTACAGCCAGGTATTCTAGGCATAAAGATGAGAACAGTGTGGGTCAATTCAGACCTCTTTTCTACAAACAGGTTCAGCCTGTATGACTCCCTTGTTCACTATTACCAAACAGACTCTTCTCTCCAAAAAAAAGACTGTCTTTTATACCTTCTCCTGTTTGGTGCGGATGAGTAAGTATGTGGGACTCTGGTCCTGTGGGTGAATCACCAGTGTACAGTGGGATGAGAGAAATCCTCCACCAGTGGCTTCATAATCCTCATCAGAGTCACAGGAACGGTCTACTTCTTCCACTTTGGACTCACGCATAGGCAGATGCCCTAAGGGACACTATAAGGAGCAGAAGTGAGTTAGATAAGTGTAGCTAGAGCAGAAGTGAGTTAGATAAGGGTAGCTAATCTTCCAGTATAGGCAGGGAATACTGGGAAAGAAAAGCCAGATCAAAATGTTGGCAGTTCTGTAAAATGTAAGGGATAAATAATAAATTCGGTGTTTAGCTAATGTAATCTTGCATTTCTATAGAATCTCTTCTCTTTCATAAAGTGTGACACTTAGAAAGTATGCCACTACTTTTATTATTTTTCTTGGGAGAGCATCTACAGGTCAGAATGAGAATATGCAAATAAAAAGATGGCTTTTCCCATAAGGTACTGTTTTCTTCCCATTACACTTGATGTCAGTTACTCAGTATCTTGAGCCATTGTTTTCTGATCCTGGTCAGACTTTCTGCTTGCTAATGGAAAATTAGTACTTCTAAAATTACATAAGTAAGTAGATTAAGATAAAGAGAAGATATATGCTGTGCTAACTCTGGAGGTCAACCCCAAATATGAACAGTATTTCTTGATATTCTAAAACTTGGGTTTTGAGATCACCAGGACAAAGCAATGTACTATTGGCCCAAGCTTCCAGAAATGGAAGGACATTCTACTAACTAAATGACCCCCCTTTTCCCATATTGTTGCTATTAATTTTCATGACAGTATGCAGATATATCAGCTGCTGTATTAAAGTCTGCTTTAAAGGCTTGACAAGACCAAATGTAGAAAGTGAGAAACAAGATATACAGTGATATGAGAAAGTTCAATCACTTGCCTTTTAAGTCTGCTGTCATTCTAGTTTAAAAAAAAAATAAAATCAGAGAAAATATTGATTTTCTTTGGAAAAGTACAACCAAGGAAGAGCTTGAAGCATGAGACACACAAGCAGTAAAAGGAAAGAAAGATTCATGAGAAATGTGGAAAGAGAGTTCAGAAATAAAAATGGGAAAAGGAATTACTTTATCTTCATGATTTCGATAGTAGTAGAAAGTTTTTCCAATCAGTGCACACCAGACCAGCTTAGAGTGACCATGCTTGACCTGTAAGGAGGACAAAGAAATACATGCTTTTAACATCAGCAGTGTTGCTGGAACAATTTTCTAGAATTTCAACTTCCAATTCAACTCTCCCTTAAAACCTTGCATATGTTATTTGTCTTATGCTAATATAAAGCTTCTCTCAGAACATAAAGGGCACCACTTCCAAAAGCAGGAAAGGAAATCTAAGTAGATGGGACATAGGTGCTTATGGAAATGGGTCTAAGATTTTGTGAAGTATTTTACTCATTCATAATTTATCATTTCTGAAATACAATATGAAGAATTTCTGTATTCTGAGATGCAATATGAAGAATCACCTATTTAAAATTATAAAACCAAATCAGTTCATCTCACCAGGAAAAGACCAGTCAACCTGTAGTGTGGGGAGCAACCTGTGTTGCAGACAACCAACCTTCAGATGCAGGTTGTCTTTAGTCATCTTAGAAGCTAATCAGAAATATATTAAAATATTCATAGTAACTTGCAATGCAAAACTAATCTACGGAAATGGTATAAAGCATAAGAATTCTCAGCCTTTGTACTTTGCACTAATGTACATGCAGTCTGTTATGACTGGAATAAATGCTAACCTAGAACTGTACAAGCCATTTCCTTGGAACTCTCCAAGTTACAGACCAACTAAATGTGACATTTAACAGTTCCCTGATTTTTTTGCTGTGATATGCTGTGAATTCTGTTGAAGAAAAGCATACATAAGCTAAATATTTGTTATTACTTACTATTTGACAAAGTCGGTATCTTTCAGTAGCCTTGTTTGTCTCATTCCTTATTATTTATATAGATGTTTTGCTTTGAAATGCAGAAATCTACTAACACTTTTCTTTCTTCCCCTACTCTTATAGGGAGTATTGAAATACTAATTTCTCCCTCACATTTACTGTACAAACCAAGAAGCTGGTACACTGTCAATGCCAATCTAAACTGAATAAAGTACGAAACATTATTTTACCTTGGTTAGCCAACCTTTCACAGTAGGTTTATCATCACTGTGAGGAACACCAACAGGACTGGTCACTTGCACTCTCAGGATACTCTGTAGGACATGAATCCATTCCTCTAGGATGTTGGGTGAGTCTGCTGTCAGGAAGTAGGTCCTCTTTTCTGTCACAAGCTGGAAGGAAAAGGAGTGAGAAAATATAAATCTGCACCCCTACAAATCTTTTCTTCAGCTGCTGAGTTTCTTTAACCCATAGAGATTTTTGTTTTGTCATTCGGGAGGGATTTTTTGCGGGTAAAAAAAAAGGTGCTCATCCTCAAAGCCCAAGTGAAAGAAATGAAACTCAAATCAATCAAATTCTCATGAACTCTCTTGCTGTTTCTCTTGGATATTGAGGCTTTATGTCCTCTCTCATCTTTTCTTGTTTCTCAGTGCTGCTGCTAATTTTTCACTTTAAAGGTGTCTACATAAATGTGGGGTTTTTGCTGCCTTCGCTTTGTATTGCATTCTGCATTCAATACCTTGTGACTCTGAAAGGAAAGATGCAATGAATTTAATAGCATTAAGTCTTAGCAACTTCAATTCCATAAGAGCAGAAGGTAGCTCACAGGTCAGGCCACGTGCCTTTCAGAGTATGAGAGAAACTTCAATGCTGCCTTTATTATAAAGTCCCCTAACATAATGATGTAAAACTGAATCCACTGATGGGCTAACTTCTAGTACTTCAAAAGTAGGAACCCAACACTTCAGATGTTTCTTCAGCTCCTCCAGGCATGTAAAAATCACGCTAGCGATCTTGTAAGAGTTTTTCAAAAAGGGGAGATCCTAGGTACTATCTCACTCACACAGGCACTGAGTGTGTATGGTTATCTGCAGGATAAAAAGCAATGCCTACCTGGAATGTTTGGGACCCTTCACCTCTGACAATTTGGCATGAGGAATTCAGCTCCATCTGCCCTTGTGGTTTGCGGATAACATCGCTCTGAGGAAAGAAAAGTAGTTTTTTCAGCAGGAAACCTCAGATGGATCTTAGAGTACTTATATAGAGCATAGTATACATGTGCAGGTCAGAGTCTGCATTCATGAGATGGAAAGGACAGCTGAAGCCTGCCAGGTTGACTATGAGACAGTGTGATCCCACTGCAACGATGAAGCAAGTCTCCTCAGTAGTGGCAGACAATATAACAAGGGTAATGGTGACAAATACTGTCTTATGAAGTTCGAATTGGACATTAGGAAAAAAATCCAAACCACCAACAGACTAAAGCCTTTCTCACTGGGAAGGCAATACAGTATCAAACACACACCAAGATGGTGGCTGAATTTCCACCTTTAGAAGTTTTCAAGACTGGCCTAGACAAAACCATTGGTTTGGGACAAAACTATCTATAGCTGATGACAGTCCTTCTTCAATGTATTAGTTGGACTAGGGTCTTCCAGAAATCACTTCCAACAACAGTCTAAATTCTAAGTATTTATGAAATTATATATATATATATATATGTATGTATATATATATGAATATGGTATATATATGAATATAATATATATGTATAATCTGCTTGTGCATTCTGATGGATAAACCCAGTGTCAGAAATAAAGATGTTCTGTGCCCTAGGATGTATTTTTTCTTGTTAGAATATGACAACTGAGAAAATGAAAAAGTTGAAAATCAATTTTCTCAGTATTCTTGACTTGTAAGCAAAGATGTGTATAAACACAGAAGTACTGTGTAATTATGCAGGTATGGAGGAAATTACTGTCCAGAAGAAAAAACTGTGGAAGGTGAACATCCCTAAGTATAATTCTCTGTAATGTAGCTAAATACAGCAGAATAATGAAGGCAAACAATAGCAGTATTTTATCATACATACAAATATTCTCTGCATGAAGGCTTATTTTCAATTTTACCCTAGTTTTCTAGTACTTCCATGTCCACGCAGCAGGGTGAAAAATGAAAGAATCTAGCTTTCTTTCCCATGGAAGCTGTAGTTTTCCTCAGAACCCCATGTACTGACTGATGAGTATTTCTCTGTGCCTCCAGAGAATAGTAAATGTATCCCAGTGACTCACCGGAGACTTGTAGTACATGATTTGTCTGTTTCTAAGAACAAACCATCGTCTCTTCCACATCTTTACCTGGCTGCCCATTTTGAGCAAGTAACCTGATTTCTCCATGGGTTCCTGGAGGGCAAAAAACAAAGCGGAGAGGAGATTATCCTGCACCTCTCAAAATACAAATGAAAGTGTGCTGAAGTCAAGCCCAGACGTTTTCTGCATCTCCATCATTTTCTGCTTTGTTTAGTAGCAGCCATCAAAGGTCAGTGCTCTCTGCTCAGCTTGGAGAGAGTCCTAAACTATCTGTGTAGCTGCAAATACCACTTTGTGTTGCTTTAGTAAAGAAAACATCTGAAGATAATTTCACTGGTTGTTTGATGCATTGTAAACTTACTTATCTTCCTACCAAAGCACTGATTTGGTAGGAAGTGAAGCTGTCTCTATGCCATGATTAGATTCCTGTTCCTTGTCTGCTTGATCTCTCACATTCAGGAGTACAGAATTTAACGCTACCCGTGTTTGAGGTCTTTTTCTAGGCCAAAATATTATATCCTGTCTCATTCCTTCCTCTGAATTTCCAAACTTGTTTTGTCCCAAAAGTGTAAGGCCATCATTAAAGTAGAATATGACTACAGGAAATCAATACAGGCCATCAGAAAAGAATACAGCCCTTGAGGCACATACTTTAATCTAACCACATAAGAGAAACTGCACCTTCTTCTGAAGCATCAGATAGTGTCTTTTGATACCTATCAGCTGGACCAACAGCCCAGTCTGTCAGAGCACCACTTTGCAGGGGATAACTCAATATATTGTAGTTATGCTTTTTCAAGGCCAAGGCTCTGTTTGCATTCCTTTACAACTGTAATGTAGTAAGACTTACAGTGCAGATTCCACCATCAGTGGAATAGGAAGATGTTCGCTGTAGCTTATGTTCTGGCTCTGAATAGTCATCATCCAAGGAATAGGCATCAGGAGGGATGGCATAGTCACTCTCAGAGCTCAGTGAGGACATAGATACACCTGTTTAAAATAAAGGAAGGAATGAGAATCATGGCTAGACAGAAGCATTCACTGAACTTTTTCCCCACTCTGAAAAAGTTTCTGAGTTCACCACTAAGGCTTTTTTTGTTCAAGAAGAAGAAATCAGATCAGACTCTGGAAACCCAAACCCCACTAACCAGACTTCTAAGAACTCTTTTCCCTAGGAACACAAGTAGTGAAAGTGAGTTTTGGATACTGACAGTGAAATAAATTTATTGTTGAATAAAGACAGAATAAAAAATATTTTAAAAAAATAAACAGACCTGTTATCTAAAGGACAGACAGATTGTTTGCAGCTCTAAACATCCATTATAGAGTCTAAAGCCCCTCAGATTCCAGCTAAGGAAAAGGCTCCCTCACTAACAATGGGACTTTGCTTTCTGTGAATCTTCCACCAGTGGTCCATGGCAATGCAGAGATACATCAGCCAATGCATGCAAGGTAAGACTACATGAAATATGATTCTATTTTACTGACTACCGATTATAATGAAAATTCCATTCGAAGATCCCGTTTAGTCTTCCCAGCAGGTAAGAAAAAATGTCCTAATCAGTACGCAAAGTACCTGATGCCTCTCAAAGATATGAAAGATTTCCTTACTGGTCAAGCAATTACCAGCCAGTGACAAAGACAAAAAAAGCCTTTTCTTTACTATGCCAGTACTAGTTTGCTTTCAAGGAAAAGCAAACAGGAAAAGAAAAGGTACAGACGACTGGATATGTGATGAATTTGGGAGATAATCCTTCCCACAATCTAAGTTTAGCAATTGCCTGAATGGAAATCTATCAGCAGTAAAAACCACCGAAGAGAACAGATTTCTACTGAGTAGCTGTTGATGTCTGCACACATTCTGGGAGAACTCCTTAGTAGCATCACTATGGCTGAACATTTGCCTGTCGCTGATGATGCTGTTCAGGGCATCTTGCCTCTCCTGTCATGACAAGAGTTCATCCTGCTCAGTAGCAATACTCCCACTTTACCTCTTTTCACTGCACGAGGGCTGCCTGGCATGCTAGCTTTCCTGTTCTCGGATCCAGCAGTAGAAGTCCTTAAGCTGGCATGGGAGCCACAGTCATCATCAGATCCTGAAGATTCGTCTAAGAAAGGCACGTTGCTGATCTGTGTGGCTTTCTGGAAAATAGACATGTTAGAGACGTGTTAGATACGTTATTGGTTAGCGCGTGAGAGAAGAGTTTCATCAGGACAATCCCTACTCAATAAGGAGGCAGAGCAATCAATGCCCTTCATTTTCACACCACCTTGCCCACTTCTGCCCCGGGGTTCTTCATTTCCTCCCGTTCTGGTCTGAGAACTTCCATGCTGGACTGTCTAGTCCCATCTGTTTGGGTCTCCTCTGGTTACGCCCTCATACTGTTCCACAAGCCCTGTGCTCCATTTCATTCTTTAGGCTGCACCCACCATCACCTCTAGGTTTCTACAGCCCCATAGTGCACACTGCAGCTTCCTAGACCAAAACTGCTGCAGTGTTCTGTATTCCTAAACACATTTATCATTTGCTAGTCCTTCGGCATTCTTTTGGTGTCCAGTGCTTCCCAAGATTCTCTAATTTTCATTCCTTCGCTGCACAGCTTCATCCTGTTTTCTCTAAAATTAGTAGGAGGCCTGGACCATGCTTTTCATAACAGAAAAAGTGAGGTAACTCCTTACCCCCTTCAGTGTAGTGTAGACTGGCACAGTGACGTTTCTGTAGATAAGACAGGTAAATGGCCCAGAAGTTGAACACGAGAAATTGGAAACTGGAAAAATTCAGAGAGAAAGCAAGAGAGCAAATAATACAAACTGGTGAAAAAGTGAAGGTTTTAATAGAGAAGCATATCAAGGATTGCCATCCTGGAAAATCTGGCCTCAAAAAGGCCAAGGAATGTGTTATTAATTACATACAACTCCCACAGAGAGCTGCAAAGTTCTCTCCATTTAGCCTGTAAGATGTCTTACCCACTCCATGGTACAATGGCAATCTGGTGCCCCATGTCCAAATAGATAAAAGCCCTAACAGGGGACAGTGATGGTGAATAAGACTAAAAGCAGGCCACAGACATGCAGAGGCAGAAGAGTGGCTACAAAAGTGATTAAGGAGATAATGGAATCCCTGAACATGTCATAGAACGAACAGGCACAAACAGCCCAACACAAACCATTCCTGAGATCAGATGTGTCCTCCTCCAGTCCTTTCTTTATCATGGCTATCTATGAGATCAAATTTACTTTGAAAACAGGGAAGGAAATGAAGACATGTGAACAGCCAGAAGCCCAGGTACCACACTGGCACCATAACCCCCCTGTAAGGATGGATCTTGTCTAGAACTTACAGCATCTGGAAGTATCATTCACCATGGCCACTTCAGACAACCTCATGCCAGACTTGGCCACAGCATAGATTCGGCTCTCCTGAAACAATAATACCACGAACAACAGTGATCAGAAAAAACGTGATTCTTGCAGAAAGAAATGCTCATGTCACAGAATCACGCCACAGTCACACCTTTGGGCAGGAAGGAGGGGCTCTCTGAGATTGCTGTATTCCACTCTATGTTGTGTGAATGACCATTAGTGGAAGCATGTTACTCTGTGTGAATCCCCACAGATATGGGGGATTCACAGAGATGATATCACAGACTGGAACACCTACACGCAATTATCAATAAATTACTATATCACAGCTTGGAAAAAGATGGGAGTTTTCCACTTTATAAACAATGCATTAAAATGAATAAAGAACTGCCACAAACCAGGACAATTTATTGAGTCACCACCTGCAAGGATGCTCATTCTCTGATAAGGGAATGAAAGAAATGCCTGGAATGATCTCAATAAGCCTGTGTCTCAGTTATAACAACATACGGAGCTTTCAGTTCAAAGGCTCTCCAAGTGCTTCACGAATTGGTAACAATTCCAGCAGGAAAACCCAAATCTGTATCTAAATGCAGTATTGTGACTAAGACATGAACCATCCTGAAATGGATAAAATCCAAAGCTAGGAAACCTCTTGCTGCTCCTAAAAGCATACAACCAATCACTATGAAATAGCACACAATACATACACATGGAAGTACCTAAGACTGCAAAGTCAAGTACACACACACAAAAAAAGAAATTACAGAATAAGTATTTTCTGTATGTATTTGCACTGAAATTTAGTTTCTAATGAAATACTATGTGAATCTTTTTCCCCAGACAACTCCTATTCAGGGAATGTAATGGATATTTCTTACTGATTATGCTACTATTTATTATTATTCTATTCATGACTTACTGTTACTTAAATTACTATACTTAAATTTGCCCTACTCGGATACATTTACTTGACTCTAGTCTGAAGAAAAAATACTGGATTTTTCATGTGTTACTGACAATAAAAATGCAATGCTTCACAAAAATTAATAAAAAAAATTACATTAACCCTGGGAGGGACAGTGATAGGTGCTATCAGAAGAACTCAGACATAAGTTCTTTGAAGTATTGAATAACTTTGGAGTACCCATTTCAAGATGTCCAAGATGTGACTTTTTGAGAATTTAGCATCATATAACATAGCAATGAAAACAAATTAATACAGTTGGAGCACAGAAGTGATCAGCACTTCTGTAAACAAATTTAGTTGCCAAATTCAAGTTAGACATTCAGAAGAATGTGTGTGGAACTGACAATCACCTGTGAAAAATCAAGCTTAAGAGACTAGAAGAACTTTATATGGGAACTCTAGATCAGAGACAGGAATAGTAGCCAATCTCTGAGTCATATTTCCCTTCTTCCAAGTGAGTACCCTGTTCATTGACACCTTTCTGACTTCTGCAGCAAATGAAACAGACATCTTGAAAAATTGCAGTTTCTTTTACCACACTATCCACCTTCACTCCCAGTACAGTTCCATATTATGGACTGAAAGAAAAGAAATTCCTTCGGAAAAGTGGATGTGATTATACTGGGGTTTAAATTGGTGTCATAAAGGATACAGCCGAAGACCACAATTAACATTTAGTTTTCCTTGAAAATAAATTTATAAAACATAAGAATTAACAATGAGTGTTTGACTTTGCACCTTCAATAAATCACTTGTTTGCCCATGCCTTTTAAAAAAGCAAATAAAAACAACAAAATCATCTCTTTTGATACTACATTGATTTCCACCAGGTTAGACTAATGCAGACTTTGGCCTCTTTAGGAGCCAAAGTTGACAGAGTCCCTTGGGAGTCAGTACTGAAGGGCAAAGGGGTCCAGCAAAACTGAACATTCTTCAAGTAGGAAATCTCAAAGGTGCAGGAGCAGGCCATTCCCATGTGCTGAAAGATGAGACAGTGAGGAAGACTGGCCTGGCTGAATAGAGAGCTTTGGCTTAACTCAGTAAAAAAAGGGGAGTTTATGACCTCTAGAAGAAGGGGCAGGAAACTTAGAAGGACTACAGGCAGGTTATACAGGGAGAAAATTAGAAGGGCCAAAGTCCAACTAGAATTTCACTTGGCTACTGCAGTAAAAGACACTAAAAAATTTCTATAAATACATGAGAAACAAAAGGAGAATAACAATCCTTTATTGGGTACGGTAGGAAACATAGTGACAAAGGATAAGGAAACAACAGAGGTACTTAATGCCTTCTTTGCTTCAGTCTTTCACAGTAAAGCCAGTTGTTTTCCAGGTACCCAGCCCTCCGAGCTGGAAGATATGGACAGGGAGCAGAATGAAGCCCCCAAGATCCCAGGAAAAATGCTCACCCACCTGCTAACACCACTTAAACACGCACAGGTCTATGGGACCAGGTGGGATCCACAGGAGGGTGCTGAGGGAGCTGGCTGAAGAGGTCACTGAGCCACTGTCCATCATTTACCAGCAGTCCTGGTCAACCGGGGAGGTCAAAGGTGACTGGAAGTTGGCAAATGTGACACCCATCTATAAGAAGGGCTAGAGGAGGATCTGAGGAACTACAGACCTGTAGCCTGACCTCAGTGGTAGAGAAGGTCATAGAGCAGATCATCTTGAGTGCCATCACACAGCATGTACATGATAACCAATTGATCAGGCCCAGCTGGCATGGGTTTATGAAAGACAAGTCCTGCATGACCAACCTGATCTCCTTCTGTGACAAGGTAACCTGGTCAGTGGTTGAGGGGAAGGCGTTTTCTTTTTTCCAACCTAAACAATTCTATGACTAGCAAACAATCCAGCTAACAAGTAACTGAAAGCAAGAACAACAAACCCCTTTCTCACATACTGTAAGCAACAGGACACGTATACCACTTAATCAAAGGCTTTCACAAAATTTTCCTAATAGCAGAAGCATACCATGAGATAGGAATGCTGAGATCTAATCCATGTATTTATTCTAGTATTCAGAGATTTTTCTCACTCTGGAGCTATCTTGTCTGGTCCACTGCATTTATGAGTAATTTTTCTATCTTACACATGTGACAACAGAACTAAGGACTAACTTTTGATGACCCATAATGATAAACCACAATGCAGCACCTCTTGACTTTCCTTTATATTCCTGTGTTTCTTGAGCACTGGTTTTTTCCATGAATTTTTTTCCCCTTATAAAGACAAAAGGAGAAAAAAAAAAATTGTCAGTGGAACCAGCATGCCCCTGTCATGCTGGAACTGTCAGACTTGGTGCTTCAAGAATGTAACCTGTGATGTCCACAGGTAACAACTGCTTGAGCTGTTGTAGCCTAACTACTGGGCACTACTCAAAGATAAGCACCACTTCTCAGCCTGTTGTCCTTGCATTTCTTACCCATGATGGGAATCTGTGCAGCGGTGGTGTTGGAGGTTTACCTCCTGGGTCAAGTATGCCAGCCTCAGAACTCACAGCTTCTCTCTGCCCTGCAGGTAAGTGGTACATTTCCTCACATGCTCTAGCTTCTTCCCTCAGCAGTCCACATTCTGTATCCATCTTCTCCAATACTCCATCATCATCAATATCTGTCTCCTCCACGAGCCCATGGCATGCTGGAGGGTCTGTTATGGGCTGGAAAGTGCTAGTCTCTAAGTGCATTACATGATGGAAAGAATTAACCCCTGGCTGTGGTTGGCTGTGATGTCTCTTGGCCAGTTGAATACTGTCTCTTGGTGTATTGGGTGTTCGTATTTTTGGAAACGTCATACTAGTCCCAAGGCTGCATTCCCTCCCTGCACAGGAGGAATGTGCTGTAACAGTTGATGTTGACACAACCAGGGGTGGTTCAGCAGTTTGGAGACGGCCCTCAAGCATGCTCATTATTTCTCCTGAGGAAGAGGACTCCAGCCGGTGGGAGTGGAATCTGGCACTCAGATCATCAGAGAAGCGGGTGCCATCAAAACCCACTTGTTTCAAGGTGCTCACAGCACTACAGTTTTCTTTCAAAGATGACTGGAAGGTCAAAGCCTCAAGAATTCTTGTGGTCTCAGCTGGAGGGTCCACTGATACAGGATCAGAGCACCCTAAACAGTGTTCAGAACTTACAGCTGGAAATACATCCTTCTCTGTGGAGAGATTCCAGTTTGATGGGTCAGACACGAGCTTCAGCTTATTCTGGGAAAGCAGAGATTTATCCTCTCCATTCTCAGTAAAGGTGTCATTGGCAAGGACTGTATTTGCTGAAGAAAGGACATGCTTGGTAGGTCCTGTCTCACGCATCTCTCTGAAACCAGGTGCAAGGAGCACAGATTCCTGGTCTATCTTCTCAGCAAAAGAGGCCCGTGATGCTCTAGGCTTCAGGGAACTACAGCTCCAAAGAGATTCAAAGGGAGGAATGCTGGTCATATCTACAAGGGAGGAGAACATATGGTTAGGGCATTCAAATGCTTTAATGTCTTAATTGTTGCTTCCTAGTGTATGTTCATGCCAGTTGTATTTCAATAACACCCTGGCCTGGTTAGGACTATACAGAACAGGAAAGAGATTGCTGGGCACAGTTATAACAAAAGTGCTATACATTTATAACTGGGAATAGCACAGAAGAGATGAGCAGGAAATGATTAATCACTGTTTCTTACAAAAGTAGAATTAAGGGGTGCCTAATGAAACTATCAAGCAGCGCATTTGAAATTTACAGAAGGAAGGGTTTTTTCCAGACAAAAAAGGAAATACAATGTTGCAGATATGCCAGAAAAACTAATGTATCAGTAGTATGGAAGCCCTGGCCTAGAAATTTCCTAAACTACTGACAGCAGAAGCTGGAAGGGTAAATGGAGAGGAGGGCAGGTTTACTTGCAGTATTTCCTACACTCTGTCCTGAAACATCCACAACCAGCCAGGAGATGGGATACAGGCCTAGGCAAGCTTTCAGTCTAATATAACAGTTTTTACTCTTACCTATATACAACTATGTCTCTTCTCTTAAAGTAGCCATGAGAAGGAAGTGCATTTACCACACAATACTGTCAAAAAACATCCAAGTGGCCAGAACACTGCTTAGCATTGCTTTTGGCTTTAGTGGACCTACAGTGTTTTAAGTCATCAAATAAGATGGTATGATTCCACCCTTCCCAAGGGCTACATGAGACTTCCAGGAAAGGTATGGAGATCTTCTTAAGCATCACACCAATCAGTGAGGTTACTCTCTTTTCAAGAATTTTCCCAGAGCTTTTTGCTATCCTTTTGTGCTATATGACCCACGCAGTGCTTTTTGTCACAAAGTTTTATAATAGTTTCTTACAGGATTTTGCTGTAAAATCTTTTTTTTTCTTAGTTCTTTCTCTGCCCTTTCAGTTGCTATATTAGAAGATGACATAAAAAATAGATCCTAGATGGCTTCCATTGTCCCTTTTCTATTTAGTACCCACACTTTATAATTCTTGTATTTTTTCCTTTCCATAATCACCAGATTTAAAGACTATCTCAGTTCTACAATTTCTTCTGAATAGTAGCTTTAGGGTATGAGAAAGTGTGGATAAAACTTGGAGTGGCAGAGGATGTTTGACTGATGTTGGCATTTATACACTGCCTGACTGAAAAAGCACCAAATCATTAGATGCTTTAGAAATTGCAAAATATGGGTGAGTGACTCTGCATAGGTATCGCTGAAAATGCTGCCTTAACATCAAACTCTATGGGTGTTGCTTAACCAGCAACGGTTAAGGAATTAGGAAGTAGAAACAAACTGAAGACACAAAATTACAGAGGGAAGAGCAAACAGTGGAATACATTACTGTTGACAGTGGAGAGGATGAAACCTGCTGAGAAAAAGACAACCATGAGACCTTGGTGCTTGAGTCACAAGGAACTGAATGTTAACAAAGCTAACACATACCACTGGCACACAAAAACCTTGGCACACATTTCCCCTGACCCTGAGGTAAATCATTAGTGTAGACTGAAAAGAGGCCATTCATTTTAAATATTGCTGATATTTTTGCAGCCTCCTAGATGTGACAGGAGATTAAGAAGAGGAAGCTGTTACTATTAGCATAGCAAGCAAGAAGAGATTTGTCTCTCTGCAGAGGCCTCTGACTTCAGCCTGGCATAGTGAGACTAGTGAGGCATAAGAGGAGAGGGCAGTGCTGTTTACTGCCCAGAGAGTTGGGATCCAGGGAACACTTAATACCAGATTATTAACGCAGCTTACCAGGCATTCTCCTTTTGTGAACAGTCAGAGCCAGAGGGGATGAGAAAAACCCAGTCATAAAGCATTTCGCTAGAAATGTGGCAGGATTTAGAAGGAATTTTGCCCTATTCCCTTGCTGTGGAGTGATAGGAATGCCAGGAAGACTTCTGCAGGAAAGAAATGCCCCCTGCCTGCATGCCCAGTGAAGTTCTGGAAATTAGCTGTCTTACTGTGACCAAACCAACCTCATGAAAAACTAAAAGGAAGAAAATCGTTAAGAGAGAATTTCCTCTGCAAAGTGTGTTGCAATGAAAGGTGCTGAATACAAGCCCTGGAGACTAAGTTTTTCTATCTGTCCACCAGAGAAGAACTGCAAAAGCCCAAACACCATAAGCAGCTTTCTCCAATCCAACCTGATAGCACAGAGGATCCCAGCATCCTAAAGGCAGACCAGACATCTGCTGCCTTGGATTATTCAGTTACTCAGCTCATATGACAGCAGAGGTTCTGTGGGGATGAGAATGACTCACATGTGGAAGTAAAGTGAAATACCTCAGGGACTTCTCCCCTCCAGCACTGAAGTGAATGGACTTTACTACGTACTTCAATGAATGCTTCTAATTCAGGAGTTCAGTGGCTTATTTTAATGGCAAAAGCAGATTTTTAAAAAAGGGTTCTGTGTTCAATCATTAGCAGGAAAATAATTAAGAGTTTAAGGCAGGTAAGCATGGTATTCCCATCTTAAAAATAGATCCACTGAGGAACAGAGTAATTCCACTGCTTGCTGTTACAAGTGTTAATTTCTGACAAAATTAAGAATACAACCTGGGAATGCTAACTTCCACTCTTGTGGTGGTTACTAGGCTACAATGCCAGGTGAGCACATTTACCTTGCAATGTATCCTGAAGGGCTTCGATTTGCTCCATCAGCCTCTGATTACAAGTTTTCAGGTGGTAATTCTCTAGCTCAAGCTATGAAAAAACAATAATAAAAACTGAAATATAATGCAAAACTGTGTGTGCAAGTGATCCACTATACAGAATATGTCTTTATCTTTACCACATTCAAGTGTCTTAACAAGGAAAAAAATGATTCGTGAGTCTACCAGTCATCTTGAAATCCTTCTACTCAGCAGCTGCACTGGACAACCCACTTAAACATTTAGCTGGGCTTTCTCAAACAGCCTCTGCATATACCATTGTGCTTCTCAAATAGGTCTTCTAATTTACTTCCATGATATTGTTTATCATTTACTCCTGTTGCAGAAATAACTGTCACGAAAGAGAGAATCAAAAAAAGCATTACCCTGAAGGACCGTTTTTCCATCTCACCCTGTATATAGTAAAAGAAGGGAAGCAAAGAAAAAAGCCAACAAATGTTAAGGGTGCATTTACATTTCCAGCTAGGGCATGAGAGATTCTTTGCAAATTTGCCTTATGCCTTTACTTTAAGTGTCTCAGCATCCATTCTTAAGCACAGCAGTGGTGCACCCAGACAGGCTTCCTTCTTGATGGCAAAGTTGAAACCACACCAGTGGCGCTGTCTAGAGTAACCCATTTGCAACACAGACTCCAAGTTCTCCAATTGGCAGTGCTCCACTTTTGCATGGTAGAATCAGCACCTAGAATCAGCATCTGGCACAAACCTCATTGGCAGTAAAGACATAATGTGAATGTATGGCCCTGGATTCACAGCAGACCACACCAAATTAATCCCCGTGCTTCCTTCTTTGTGCTGCACCAGTCAGTAATGTAAATGCACCTTAAGTTATCTCATACAGGAAAATGAAAGAGAAGCAGCCCAGCAGCCTGATGAAATATCTAGGCAATTCAATGATATTACAAAGTCCCATCATAACATAATTAGTGCCCACAAAGACTTCTTCTTCCAACTTCAAGAAATTCCCCTTCTGGCATAAACTGGGAAATAATGTCTTTAACTTGGAATAAAAGACCAGATAGCCCCACTCCCAGTTGTAAACTATTACTGCATCTTCAAAACTGCATGCTGACCCACTATCTTTGTTTTTCTAGAAGGTAGGCCCAGATAGAGGCACAAGTCCATAGGATGGATAGGACAGAAAGGTTAGAGATGAGAAAATACTGGGCAGTAGGAAAACACCATTAGTCAGAGATGGTAAATTAAGGCAGAGCAAAGGACATGTTTGTGTTACAGCTGGTTTGTCAGAAAGACAGAAACTGCACCCAGAGAAAAAAGGGAGAGGTAGAGGAAAGCGAGGTGAAAGCCACTTGTGACTACTAAATCTTCTTCAGAGACTGCTTTTGGGCACTGGTGACTTCATGGTCATTTACAGTTTGCCCAATAAAGTCAATAGCCCTCACCCAAGAGTGATGACCCTAGCTCTACAACAGAGTATGCACAGGGCCAAGCAAGCAGAGAGCCTCTGTGGCAGATTGACCATCCTCAAAGTACTGTCCTGTACAGGAGCCCACTGGCAGTGCAGCCACTGTACCTACTCACAAGCCTTGAAACTTGGCAGTAAGCTAGAGACTTACCTCCCTGAGCTTAAATGTTACCCATTCTTTGATCTTGGCAGCTTTCTCTTGAACAATTTTGGCTTCTTCAGTCCTCAACTGTTTCTGTGCCAAAAAAACCAAAACCAACATTACACACATTAGGAGAATACAACAAACTGTTCTCAGTAAGTTACTGCACCAGGAGCGACTGAAACACTGACAATCTCATTCCAGATATAAGATTTAAGACTGTTAATTGGATATTATTATTTAGCTGGCCTTTGAAAAAAATCAAGCTCTAAGTTGTCTTACATGGTCTCTAGAGTTAAATTCAGAGAGTTGTTTCAAGAGTTTGTTCTGGAATAGCAAAATCCAGCTCAGGTAATGACTGCTCACCTACCAGAGTTTGAGTACAATCTGCAACTTTTTCTGTTTCAGATGGTTTTGTAATGTTGCTGTTTGCTATTGACATCTGTAGTGTTACCCCAACCTACACACACATTATTGCCCACAGTTAATAAGAATTAAACAATGCTTATAAGTGTTTTATAAAATCTAATCATTCCAAGCAAAAGGGATTCAACTGCTGTAAGCACAGGTATAGGGCACAGACTTTCAAGATACACAAGATGGAAACTAATACCAACAATGTATTTAACACACACACACACACACACACAATATTTTCATTGAGAAAGTAAACTAGGAGAAAAAAAACCAAAACAAAACCAAAAACCCAGCTCCAAAACTTGACCTTGAAACACTAAGACCTGCTAGGAGGTTTTCAGATGGTGTAAGTGGTTGTACCTTTACATACCCATTAAAACAGGTTCTAGTCTGCACAGAGGTGTTATGGCAATACTGTTTGTTTGCACAATGAACATTTTCCCCCCAAATATCTGCTTGTGCAATACTGCTACATCATTTTCGCAGCTGTGTTTTCTCAGTCATGTTTTTAACTTTTCTGGAAATTTCCTTTGAAAGATGCTGGATTAATACCATGAACATCTGAAGCCTTCTGTTCATCTCCTGTGTAGCTCCATCAGAAGCAAAATCACTGAAAGCTCTCCTATCTACATAATGATTTAAACATCTGCAAGAAGAAATCAGTTCTAGGAGCAAGGGAGGGAGGGAGGAAGAATATATGCTACATGGCACATTCAGCTCTGGTTTCTCCAATTAATGGGCAAAGACTTTCGGTAGCACTTGGTGGTTTCCCTGCTAGATTGTCTTTTCCTGATGTGAAAAAATACTGATAATTATGATAATAAAATGTCAGTGCGTCCCCCCACTTTAAGTTTTTCAAACTGATGAATACCATATAAATACACAGTAGACTGTGCAAAATTCCCCACATCTTCACATCACTTTTAATCACTACATGCTATTTATCACCACAACTGCACATTTAAATGTTCCTATTCAAGTATGTTTGCTGACTTTAAAACAGGCCTTAGCAACATTGTAGGTAGCAGTAACATTTGTAGTTGAGCATAATGAAATAAAAGCAATCAAATAACATGCTTTAAGAAGAGGATTTATTTAGCTTTTTTCCCTTTTATATGACTCCTAATCATCAGATCTCAACCTCTGCTGGAGTCAGAATACTAGATGTGCCTACAGGTCTGAAATGACCTGGCACATATAGTAGACCTACCATCTCTGAATATCCGTCATACGCGAAATGGCTTTGAATTCCTAATGACCTGGACTAGTCTCAAATCAGGGTCTAAGAGGTAAAAGATTCAGAATATTACTATGCTACATGGCAAAGTGCAACGCCAAGATTTTATTTAGGGTCCTAAAGTAGAATAGCAGTATGACACCATCATTGTCATCAAGCTTAGTAAGCCCTGCTTCTAAGCAGAACCAATTCACTTAGGCACAGCACCCATAGCAGCTTTTGTGCTTTAAGATCCAAAGGCAATTAGAGATTCTTTGTGTCCCACACTATTGTGTGGTCCAGACATGACCTCAGTGTTCTCTTAATAACACTCTGAACTCCACAGCTTTTCCCATCCTAGTGAAAACAAATAGGATGCCTTACAGGGATCCTTAGTGACCTTCTAGCATTGCCACCATCTCATCCCATTCTGAAACTAAACCAGTGACTCTGACAAAGAGTGTTTCTTCTCTGGAATTGTCAAGCTTTGGCTTTCATTTCTAGAATCTCATTTTGCCTCTTGCTGCTGGGTCAGGAAGATTTCTACTAACAGGCCTTGAAATAGGTGTCAATTAGTTAAATGTAACTCAAATCGATGTTTTTTTGTCTGGTTTAAAATTCTACTGAGCTATTTCTATTTAAAAGTAATTTACTTAGCAACATATAGGAATACCTCATTCCTCATGTTATACAAACCACAGGGGAAACCTTTACCAGAGCCAAAAGAGAAGCCCTGCTGTAGAACTAGCTCCTTCCTTCGACCAACTGAAAATGGAAGAGACTAAGAAGTATCCCTATTGGGAAACAGCTGCTCTTTCACAATGAAGACATCTGACGAGAGATCACAGAATCAACTAGGTTGGAAAAGACCTCTGAGACCATCGAGTCCAACCTTTGACCCAACACTACCTTTTCTACTAGACCATGGCAAAAAGTGCCACATCCAGTCTCTTCTTAAATGTCTCCAGGGACAGTGACTCCATGACCTCCCTGGGCAGCCCATTCCAATGCCCAATCACTCTCTCAAAAGAACTTCTTCCAAGATGAACTATGTTAAAGGATTGCTGAAGACTGGGAAAAGACCCTTCTCAAGAAGCAGCATAAACAGAGTCAGAGATGGGCTACATAATGATTTTGTAAAGCAATCTGTATGCTAGGAAGCCAGAGAAACACTGACCAGATGGTAGCATTACAATTTAGGGTCTCAACACTAACATAAGGAAGCCCTTTAAACACATTGACCGATCCCCTATAATGAAGAGAGATGGACTACTGAAGCAGAGTGGATGTTCTGTGTGAAAAGGAAGAGAGGATCCCGTACTCAGCAGGTATCACTTTAGAGCTCATCTGAATGCAACTGAGAGGCTAACGTGCAAAAAGATATAATCCATACCTTTGAACCACACATTACAGAATCTCTCTAACTCATGAAAGCTGCAGGTCTCCCTGTAGAAAATATCCCTACCTGTTTTGCTAGCTGTGTCTCCAATCTGCTGATCAGATCCTCTTTTCCTTGCACTGTGCCCATCAGGTCTTGGTATTTCCTGTATAGGGTGCTGTCTGATTCACAAATCTTCACATTGGCTAGTTTTATCTTCTCTTCCATAACTCTGACCTATAATAATAATCAGAAGGAGATTAAAAAAAACAAACAAAACAACAAAAAACAAACCAATGTGTTTCAACAAACCAAAAGTGTTTCAGCAACTCCTGTCTTTCTGACAAGTGTTTTCTCCAGACCTACTAAGGAGTTACCATGTTAGATATTTCAGAAGATTTGCCTATCTTTGAGCTCCTGCCAGTGCCAACACTTTTTCATCTCAGCGAGAGAAACACCATTGTAATGCTCCTTCACTACAAAGTTTCAATGCACTAAAATCTAGCTGCTGTTGAAGCATTTCAGGTTTTCAGAAAGTTTTTAAAATCTCTTTGCTTTCTTCAAAACCTATGTCTCTCAGTAACGTCATTTCATTTTACTGTTACTTCATTCTATTGCAAAGGACTAAAAGACTTTATTTATAAAGATGAAATGAATCCCCTTAACTCAAATGTGCTAATTGCAGAATTTGATGATGGGAAAATATCTGGTTCCAACACCAGCTTCTTCCCAAAGAAGCTAAATCTGTAAAGAAACCAACTCCAGATACCATTAATTTAGCATGAATTTAAAACCAGAAAGACAAAACGCAGGCAGCAATCTGAGCACGTCTCTGCAAGAGAGTTACTCATGCTCTGCTGAGCAGTCTACACTTCATACTTGCAGAAGCTGTGTTTTGTCCTCCTGTCTGCCTGTATTAGGCAGAGAAATTTACTGCCTCTTCCTCATATTGAATCAGAAAGGTAGGTGCCCAACATCTGAGCCAGAAAACTAAGCCTGCTGAGTCGGATGTGTTTTCATTAGAGTTTAGGGTGACTACAGTAAAAAGAAGTGGCCCCTCCTTTCTGTCTGATGCCCAAATGCTGACTCTGTACTAGAGGCTCAGCAAGGGGACTGCAAACATGTGATTTCCTTAATTGAGGTTGGCAGCTACAGGGAGTCCATTGAATTAATAAATCCAACCTCCCAGACTCCTGAAGAGAAAGATAACAAGGGATTTTGCACTTGATGTGGAGCCCTCTCATTTGTCAGCTGCTTCTCATTCATGGTGAATGTACTCATTAGTGAAAGGGAATGGTCCTGCTCTTATGCTGTCACTTCTTCAGGCTGTCAGGCAGCAATGAAGTATTTCTCTAGGAACACTTATCTCTGGATGTGGATAAGGCTGCTGTAAAGGCAAACATTGAGGGTTGCTAGTCTTTAGGACCTGCCAACATATGGCTACAGAACTGCTGGTGGCAGGTGAGTGAAGGCAACCCTCATTTCTGCAGGTGGCAGGTGAGTGAAGGCAACCCTCATTTCTGCTACACCTTCCCAGACAAGTTCTCCCTTTCTTGCCCATTCTTGGACCTGGATTTGACTTGCTCTCCATCTTCTCCCTTGCTGTCATTGCATCTTACCATATCATGGACACTGTACTCCTATCATTCAAGTGTCTGCTAGTATGAAACCTTCTTCACTGGCCTGTGGTAATAATTGTATTTCCTGCTAGTGCTGTCACAGCTGTCATTTTTGCCTGCATTATGTTACCTTTGCTTATCTTGGTTGGGTGTGAACTTACTGATACCACTCTCAAGAATAATTCTTGTTCTTGGTTGGCAGTTGCTGATCTAGCATAGAAGCCAACAGTGTGGTATCTAGACATAGCATCTTTCCTATAATTAAAATGGTCATTAAAAAAATCTTGATGTCAATATCAAACTGGCATGAAAAAGTATGTTTTGCAGACAGAATACCTTTCCCAGTACTTCAAGTTCTTGATTCCTAGGCAATATGTTTCCCAGTGCTTATAACACTGCCTATTCAGTCCTTCACTACTGAAGTCATCTTTGACAGCCATTCTCAGCCATCCTGTGCAGCTTTTAGTTCTGTGTTTCAATCTCTGACTCAGTGCTCAGTCCTGCAGCCTTGTCCAGCTGGAGGGAGCTGCTTCACTTCAAACCTTCTCTTCAGCAGTGTTCTGCAGTGATGCAAGAGCCCAGACCACTTAGCCATTCTTGGCTCTTTTGTTTCTATAATACTCCTTACAGTACAACAGTCTGCTTCCCAAAGGTCCTTTGTTCTTTATAGCCTGTTCACAAGATGAAGTCTCGCTGTCTCTCCCCTTCTCCATTATTCAAGAAGCATAGAAGGACTAGCTTAGACAACATGCCTAATTTTGTAGATGGTTCCAGTAACAGGCAATGAATCCAACTCACTGTTTTTCTCCGTGGGCTCCTAAGCCAGAGCAGTAATTAACTATAAAGAATGTCCAAAACAAGTGATAAGGGTGTGTCTGCAAAACCTACTTCTTTCATAGAACCTTCTCTACTTATAGACAAGTCCTTACCAGTACTCTTAAGTATTTGTTTTCTGAGGACCTGCCAGGTAGCTCTATCTTTGTGCTTTAATCCTGAGATACAACATCCCCTTCCTTTTCCATAACCAAGCACGCCTATCACAGACTAGGGGGTAAAGGCTGTGATGCTGAGAGGCAGATCTAAGGTGCTACTTTTCACTTAGGGTTCAACATATTCAGGCACCTGGTCACAGCTAAGGCTCAAAGACTGGCAAGTAGACCAGAAAATCCATTCACTACTGTAAATCAGTGTTTCCCTAGCAGGGCATAGCACAGCAGAGTGCTGTCTGCATGCCAGGCCGGAAGGAACTTAGAGGAAGTTACTGGTGGATTTGTACCAAAGCAACCATAAAAAAATCTCTTACCTGTTTCTCTGCCTCTTCAGCTCTTTGCTCTGCTTCTATCACTCTCTGCTCCAATTCCTGCATCTTCAGAGCCAGAAAAGAAGATGGAAGAGGGGGAGAGAAAAAAATAAATTAACATCACCTGAAAATTCACCTGTTTTACTCAGAAATCTCCCATTTCTTGTGCAAATCTACAGATTTTCTTTGGCATCTTTTGGGTTAACTGGACAGCTCTGACCAGGGGAAAAAAAAAAAAGCCTTTGATCTTTCCCAGTCTTCTACCCTACTTTGAATTTACCGGAACTGTTGTCTCATTAGTGAACTTCATCATTCATTACATGGGTCAAAGGAATAGTCCCAAAGTCTTGACCTCATCTCTACAATTTACACACCATGGGCTGTCCCTGCAAGAAGCCTGTCTACAGTGCACCATTATTCCCTGATTTTATTTTAGCTAAGATTCATTCACAATGGTAAATAAAAATTAATACATCTTGGAAAGCTCACGGCAGGTTCTCTATGATGCCACATTATGACATATGAATATTTTGCATTGCCTTTAAAAGCATCATAGGCTCATAACTCATAAGATTAACAATGATGTTAACTTTCCTATGCTTCTTTGCACTTTAAACAGCTTTGCAAACTGACAATTCAGTGATTTGACATCTGAGCATTGGTGCTATTGAAGTCAAAAGACACTGAATAGAATTTTATCCTAAATGTACATAAACCACTTCACTCTCATGAACTGTAGATACCCCCCATACCTGGGGTTCCTCTAATAATTTACCACTAGAGCCAATGTTTTGAGGTTTTCTTGGGGTTTTTTTTAAGCAACCTACTATCAGATTCGGTGCTTTCAAGGTCATCTTTCATGATCTGCCCAGCTTCGACAGATCTCAGATTTAAGCCCAGTATTATGAAATCAGTGACACTAAGTACCATCCACTAAGGTGCAAAATTTGAAGAAGGCTTCATGGAGTTTCCAGCACCTACTCGTGTTTTACTACAGAAAGAATGACACAGAAGCACCTTCAGAAGATTAAAAGAATCAAGCTTCAAGAAGAAAACTAACTATAAAGGGAACTGAGCTCTTTTTTTCTCCAATGCATTTTACGGTTCTTGATAATGCACTGGAGTCAAGTATTCAGGTTGGTCACTAAAAGGACCAAACCAGTACTTCTGAAAATGAGACTTGTTCCTCTTGGGTTGATCACCCAGAATGGATGTGGCAGCATTCCTGCCTTTCCATCTCCCTTTTTCAGACAGCAACAAGACAATTCTTCTTTCCATTTGCACCCATTGATCATAAGAGCAGACTGACACCTATCAACAAACATACCAGAAAGGTACATATATGCAGACATCTCAGTGGTCATGTAACTAAAAAAGCAATGACAAATTCAAACCATGAAGATCAGAAAGTGACACATTTAGCACGATACCTCTCAGGTTTACTTTTTTAGTAGAGCAATTAAGGATATCACAGTCTATGTAGCTTAATATCCAAATTAAGGATGCTTGCTTGGCAGAGGATCAGAGAGATGCCACAGAACATTGCACAGACAACGCCGCTCTAACCAAAGACTATTAGAGTCTTGGAGGAGACTGAGCTCAAGGCAACCTAACACTCAGAGCAGTGGTCTGTGCTACAACACGAGTATGTGTCCCTTAGGAACAGTGATGTACCCATGCATTTATCTGTTAGTCTCTGGGTAGTCATCACCACAGACAGGTAGCAGCAAAATATACTGGCAAAAGACAGATGCCAACATAACTATTATGGAGACATAATACACTTTATGAAACAAAGGCTGTTTAAGACAGTAGCTTCAGAATCAATGATCTCCATTAGTTTTCTGATTAATTAACAGGGTCTACATTCACAGCACAGACGGAACTCTCAGCCTTTTTCCAAAGGTGGGCAATCTCCATGGAAGACTCAGGTTATTTTAAGACAGCACTGTTCTGACTGAAAAACTCATTGTTGTCCCAGCCTCATGACAGTTTGCTTTCCATTGCTAGCAGTTCTAGATCCTGATCAGGATAGAGAATGTATGTTGGGACCATCCCTGATCACTAAAAAGTTCTTTTGCAACCAGGATGACTTGGCTACGTTCCAGTCAAATCAATTACTTTTGTCACCCTAATTCTCTCTGTAGCCTTAAATGAACTTGTACTTTTGTTAACTTCCTGTACTACATTGTTGGGTCATCCTACTACTACAAACTGTGTTTCTCATGTACACAAAATTATTATTTTGCTCATCCCCAATGTCAGCGGTCTTACTGGAGCACATTCAGATTTAATACACCCATGCTTGTAAGGCTCCTTCAAATCCCTCAATGAATTAATAATAATGCTTGGTACTTACATGGGTCCTTTCATTCAAAATGCTTTATAATTTGACAAATGCTACTAAGCAAGGTGACCCAGGTCTTATAAAAAACTTAGTGACCAAGCCCAATTCATTAAACTCTTCTCCCAAACATCAGCCCAGACAGTCTGTATGGGAGAAACAGGACTAGTTGAATAGCCATGCTTGCATGACACAAAAGAGCCTTCTTCCAAATGTTCATTGCTTATTGAAGTAAGATAGAAGCAGGTTAAATGTTACCCAGATGGCCCTTCTAAAAGCTGCAAAAGATCCTCCAATCAACCATTCACAGAGGCTTTCCCTCTCCTGATGGCTCAGAAGAGGCTACATAAAATTGAGTGAAAAAAATTCCTGCATGTCTCAGCTTCCTTTTCCTCCTGTTGTTCTGTTCCAGTGCTCACTCCTAACCAGGCCAACTTGCTGCCAAGGCAACGATCTACTATGCCACTCACCAACAGAGGAGTATCCCTTTTCAGTGTGTGTGTATGAGACAGTCAGAGTGAAAACAACTGCCAGTTTCCAAGGGGAATAGATCCCTGCTAATGTCCACAACAAGGTAGGACCCAGGGGCCTTGTGCCCTATGGGGGTCCAGCAGGATGGCAGGGCTCTGTCAGGGAGACCAGGGGCTGGGGTCTTTCTGCCATACTGACCAACAGCCAGGCTCTGCCCAGCTTGGGCAGCTCTGCTCGATAGCTGAGACCAGGCTATCAACGTGGAAGTTCACACCATGTGAACTAGGGCACTGGCAGTTAAACCACTGGGTTTTAAATTCCTCATGTTCTGAACTGCGATCTAGATTATTCAATCTAAGAGGATTTTAAAAATCTCAAGTACTTAAACTGTTGGAACACATTGTACTACCAATGCCAGGCGTGAGTGGTAGGGGTTTTTTTTGAGTTAAAATAGTAAAACTTGTCTTTAAGTAATAAAATTAGTTACAAAGAATAATTTAAAATGTGGGGGATCAGGTTTCCAAGCCTTTCAATCAGTAACTTCCAAACTCTTGAGACAACCTGGCTGGTGAGCAAGTATCACACCACTGTTAACATTGTTCTTCACTTTCACCATCTAAATCACTTTTTTAAAAAATAATTTTCCTGTTGCTACAAACCATATTGGGAGGATCTCAGGACAATGTTCACCACAGGTTGGCAACACAGATTCAAACTGTGCCCACTACATACTTTTCCAAAATCATCCCCCCACACTACCTCAAAAAACCTTTTCTGAAATGCAGTACTCTCAAATAAGTCTGAATCTCTTGATTCTCTCAGATAGAACAGTGAGAAAAAAAGATTAAAAATCACAGTTGCTATAAAAATCTGTGATAAAAATCCCTGAAGCTGGCATCACTATCGTAAACCATGTACCTCCTTCAGTTTTGCATCACTGGCCTCCTGAGCGGGAGAAGGATGCAGCACAGATACAAGCCCCTGTTGCTGTGAGTGCTGGGGAGCCCTGTGGTGACTGAGAAGGGAAGGAGGATCTCTGAGCAAGTTTTACAGACCACTTGGGAACCTGAGGCAGAGGACACTTCCCAACAACAGTGTTCAGCATGAGCACTGTGGGCGGAGCAACTGCTCTGGTGCCTTGAGTCCACCTGCAGCAGGAGGGCCTGCTGGAGCTGCCCCACAGTGTCCGAGGCTCTCCCCTTCCCACATGACATTCAGTGAACTGCAAGCCTGCTAGCTCTTTGAACCTTCAAGTAAGCCTACAACAGTTCTGTACAGGTAGTTATAGAATAACCTGATCACTGAACCAAGCTACTCCTTAATTTTAACAAAGAGAACATCGCTTTGACTGAGAGGCTGGATTAATGGCAGTCAGGTCCCTTCCTTGAGGAGCCCCCTGAAGAAGATGAAAATTTCATTCTCTGCCATGGAGCCCCTCCCTAAAGAAATAGTCAAAAGATATCTAGCAAGTCTGTTCTCCAGAAAGAAAGTCTTCTACGTAGGTTTGTTTTGTGTGTGGGTAGTCAGAAAGCTTCTCAAAACAGATATTAAGAAAGCACAAGGACACAGATTCCATAACACACCAAATGAATACTGATTCTCTTTACCAGACCTGGGCCACATCTATAAATTATTTTTTTAATGTGCCTTTATCTAAATGGACTTTACAACTACTTTCAGTGTTTTTCAAGGTAAGTAATCACCAAGGTCCACCTCAGAAGCTACCTTGAAGAGATGAAAAGGGTGATTAAAATTGCATAATTTATTAAAATATGATGGTTAGAATGAATGTCTCATACACTATACGGCATTACTAAAAATGTAATTACAGTGAAAGCAAGGATGAAAATTACTCCACTCTGAAGTAGCTGACATTTTGATGTTTTTACATCCAAAATCAACAAACAAGAATATACACACAGAACTTACGTAATACAAAATAGGGCAAAAGTGAGTTCAAAACGTATCTGTCATCAGGTACAGTAAACTGCAGCTAGTTGTACAGATTTTAATATCATTAGTAAACTGTGACTGAAAGAATCTGTTCTCACTTTCCAACAGTAAATATTTGAGCAATATCTGAGCAATCTTGGACTGGACTGTAATAATGTAAGCCACATTTAGGAAAAAAAAGAAGGAACCCCACAGCAACATACAAACTTGGATTTTATACAAATTTAGTGAAAAAGCTTTAATTCAAATTGAAAAACAACTCAATCTAAGGTAAAGAAAAAACACAAAACATTCACACCATGATGAAAACAAACAAAAGAGAAAACTCCAACAAAACCCTCAAATCTTGCCAGTCCTCTCCCCTAGGATGTAAACAAATTCACTGAGTACACTTGAAAGAGATTAGTAGGAGATGCCTCTAAAACCACAGATGCTAAGCAAGTTTCTAATATTAAGATCTCGAAATATCTGGCCCTGCTCCTCAGCATCCCCAGAATGTTTTGACTGGATATAAAATGTTATTCTAACACTATGGCAATACATGTACCTTTGTCTAGTTTTTTAACATTATAGCATAATTTGCACTCCTATAAGCTTTTCTGTTGCCAGCCAAGTCCCAATACTGATGTTCTAACCCACAGCATCCATCTTTGCTCTGCAGCTGCCTCAGTCACTTTAGATATCCAGAATCTTGCTGATATACTGTTTTCCACCAGAGTCCAAATACTTGGTGATTTTGCAGTAAACAAGGCCAAATTCTTATTTTCACTAATGCCACCTTCACCACTCAGACAGGCACGTCTCTGCATCTTGAGTAATAAGCAGAGTGCAAAAACGTACTGTAATCAAGAAAGAAAACGTTACTGCAAGTAACAGTTGTGTTGGATAGCTCAGCACTTACAGACTTTTTGCTTTCATGTCATAACTTATTGCAAAGTAGAAGTCATCACCACTGCCTCACCTTCTCAGCTAACAGCTCTCGGATCTTGCTTGCCTGCAAGCGGAATTTGAAGAGCTGGGACTCCAACGCAAGGCATCGCTTTTGCCAGTCCATACAGCTGCCATTTTCTAGTGTGAGTTCTGCCATTGTGAAGTTAATCACCCATTTAGGACGTCATCTGAGGTGCTCCAAAAAACCTACAATATAGAAAGGAAAAAAAAAAAATGTATTTTAGAAAGACAAACTTATCACCCTCTGTGTCTAGTCTTCCTTGGTCCATCTTACAGAACTGGTAACAAAGGTCATTTCTTCCCCAAGCAGAAGATGAAGTGGTACTATCCTGAGTTATCGATATTGCCCTCTGCCAGAGGTTACTCTTAATGGATAAACTTTTACCTGTAGAGTGAGTAAATAATTTACTAATGCATCATACTGTATATTCCAGAAACAGCCTTACTGCTACCCTTACAGTCTTGTTCAGCTTCTACCCAGACATTAGTAGCTTTACTTCTGGCTTCTTTGTACCAGTATGGTACCTTTGTTCTGTTCCCTACACTTCTCTTGCAGTTGTCTGAGAACAAACACCATGTCTGTGGTACTCCTGTTGGCTCTGAAACCACACTGACTTTCAAGTAGAATTCCTTCTGCTATAGCGGGTATTAGTCTGTTCAAGAGTATTCTTGCCAGGATTTTGCCAGCAATGGAGAGCAGAGTAATACCACAGTAATTTGAGCAATCTGATTTAATTCCTTTCTTCTTATACAAGGTGATGATGACTGCATCACGTAGGTCTGATGGTAGTTCGCCTAGTTCCCAACAGCGCACCACAAACTCGCAAAATTTGGTGTGGAGTGCAAGGCCCCCATGTTTCCAGACTTCGTGTGGAATAATAAGGCATTTGTGAACAAAAAGGTTTTTAAGATCAACTCAGTGTGTGTAGTCCAGCAGCCAGCTGTATTATTCTACAATAATGAATGTTTACATAGCCAGAACAGCTATTAGCTCAACTTCATCAAAACAATTAAATCCTTGTTAAAGGAGCTTCTCACCTGCTCATAGACAAACTTGCAAGTCCCAGGCTGTGACAGACCAAGGAACAGACCAAGACTTGAGAGAGAGCAATGAAGTCACTCAGCCTCATTGTCTTTACATCTGCCTTTGCAGAGTGGAAAAGTTTAAGATGTCCCTCTAGTTGTACCCACTTGTCGTTTGCTCCTAAGACTTGAGATTCAAGTTACCCTGAGAATATATAATAGTGTGAGTATACATAACACAGGAAGCCACTCTATTCAGCTATATCTCTGATGTTCCAAGTTAAGGAAGACACATTTTATACCCTTTAGCTACAAACACTACCTGCAAGTTATTTTATGGACAGGTTGCTTTGTTCAGTAATAGAAAGTTTCCCAGACAGCAAGTTGCCTACCTTTCCAATGAATTATGGAACACTATTCCAGGTCAGAAGGCAGGTTTAAGTAAAACAAGGCAAAGGCACACTCATGTGTCCAGCACTGCATCACTGAAAACATTCTGCAATGGGAAAGAAAACCACTATTCTACAAGCAGCACACTTACAGTTTTACAGAAACAAAGGCCATCCTTTTCCACAGCCCGTCCAGCACATTGACCTAATCTCTAGCCCTAGCTCCTTGCCATGCATTTAACCAGGTTACCTTTGGTACACATCACAACACTGTCTGGTTTCCCTCTAAGGTATTGCTATCAATAGTCTTTCCCAAGCCAAAAGAGGGCATTAAGTCATGGAAGGATGCTACATCACCATAAGTTTGTTTACAGCTAACTCTGTTTTGTACATAACAATTCAGCTCTCAAATGAAATTTTGTTCTCTTTCATACAAGTATAAAGAGATTTTAGTCTTTATTCATAAAGTTTAAGTTCAAAAAGGACATACAAATGAATGGGATGAACTGTAAGGGCACAAAGCAAAATGAAACTGATGTACCACACAGCTTATGCCAGAGCAAAAGTAATTTTCCCATATAGTCCATAACTTTTGGTTGAACTAAAATATCCTATTCTGAATAGGAAGTCTAAGACTGGGATAGATATCCTGAATAATTACACCTCATTCCTTATCACTATGGACAACTGCATCATATAATCCCTTTCATAAATGAACACTCTCTACCCTGGAACTGTGTATGCAGTTTTGCTCCCACTGTTCCTGTTGTTCTAGAACCTCACCCCTCTAACGAGCTGCCTTCCAGTTACCAGCATAAATATAATCATAATCAGCCTGTATCTGTTAATTCCTGTAGATTAGTGCCCTTCAGCTTAGTTAGTTTTTTCCCCTTCCTCATATTTACCCCTTGATGTGTTTGTAGATATCAAAAGCTTCCCATTAGAGACCTGATTTTGCAAGGCTAGAGATAAGGGGCTCCTCTAGTCTCCTAAGAAAAGCTCACCACTCTCGCTCTGCATCTGTTCCAGCTTCAGACCACATCATATAAAAGGGCCAGGTTTTATCTTTCTCCCTCCCCTTCACAGTCATGGGTGACCACAACTGCATCTGAAAGGCAGCATGCACCCACACCAAAGCCTTGTGTAAAGGCATTTAGCACTTTCCACCATATTATACTGGTGGTCGACATTCACAGACAAATTGACACAACTGGAGCAGAAGACTCTCAGCTGGCTTTTCCTTTGCAAATGCCAGACTTCAGAGTGCAGGAGGGTAATTACAATGGCACTAGAACAGATTAATAAAGCTCATGTCTGAGTCAGATCTCCAAAAGATCGATATTCTCTGTACTACTGGCCATTGTGGTATCACACAACAGGACAAGAGACAATGGGCAGAAACTGATGCACAGGAAGTTCCAGATAGACATGAGGAAAAATTTCTTTACTGTGTGGAGTCTCCCCCACTGGAGATATTGAAGAACCATCTGGATGCAACCCTGTGTAATGTGCTATAGAATGACCTCGCTTGAGCAGGGAGATCAGACCAGATGACCCACTGTGGTCCCTTCCAACCTTATCAACTCTGATCGCAAAATTCAACAGGCCCATGGTTACCCTGTGATTGATTAGTATAACCATATCTTTTCCTCCTCTGCTGATTTTAAAGAGTGCTCTTCCGGGTTTTATGCCCACTTTATTACTACTTCTAACGCACAATTTTACTTTGAGTCATTAGATTAATCCCCTCTGTCAGTGAACTCTTCTAGTAAAATACGTACCATCTAATAGACCCTTCTTCACCACTGTGTTGTCACATTCTCTTTTCTCATTTGTCTATCTTACCATTCTTCTATTAATCCCCATCTCCTCCACTTAAGCTAATAACTTCCCCATGTGTCATCATACCAAATTATTTCTGAAGGCTAGAGACTAGAATTACAGCTTTTCCCCTCTAGCAAAAACCTTATGCTTTTTCAGAGAAAGATTTTGTATCACAATGTCTGATACTTACTCCTAAATTATAACTTTATTTACAAAATTTATTCTGAAATTTCTTTTACTGTTAAAATACATTGTTCCTGCTCCCCCATTCTCCTGAATGTAAGCAGTTTGCCTCACTCTCTGAATTACAGTATCAACTTTATTTTGATAGACTGACTTTAAATCCTTTCTATTGGATCTGCCATTTCACATGCCTTTTTTCATAGTTCTTAACAGTCTTTATTCACTACATTCTTTGATTCCCCTGCCTTCCCAGATACTGGTCCTTTTCATATCTGATAAAGAATTTATATGGTTATCTAAACCATATTTATATATTTATGGTTATACATTCATATAAAATTGATTCTTTTTTCCCCTAGACATATGAATAAGTTGGGAGTCAGATATTTTCAAATGCAGTACTCTTACTTTACGAACTTGGAAAATAGGAAGCAGACATTTTTTTCAAACAAGCTGAGATTTTCAAAACTTAATTCTTAAATGCATACAGCTGCTTCTTAAAGAGCAACTTGATTTTCAGTTCTAAGCATCAAACATATTAAACTGCCAGTGAAGATAATGGGAGCTACGAAGTCCTTAGAACTCACTGGGGGGGGAAACGACTGAGCCAAGTGCTAAATGCAGTCAAAACTATAAGTCTCATGCATATATCTGTCTGTTTCGACCAACATCAGAGACAGTTCTGACACTAAAAGTAATATACAAAATAAATATTTACTTGGAGTGCCCATATTGTAATTCTGATGAAGCTAAAATTTATAACAAGATGTCACATGGTTGTTTTTTGGGGTTTTGAGGTTTTTCTGAGCTTTGGGTTTTTTTATTTGTTTGTTTTTAGACCAGGATCAAGTGATTTCCCAGATGTAGGTGGATCCAGACTAGAATTCACAACACTTCAGAGACTTTGTATATTTCCATCTGAAATGCCCTTTAAGAATAAAAGCAATTAATCAACATGAAGACTTTCAGTTGCAGATATAAATGCAAGTAAAGTGTTTGCACTTTGTTCATTCAGTGCAAACAAAGAAGACAAGTGAAACACTATTTCCATATTTCAAATGTCTCCTCAGCTCAGCAATCAGTTTATCCAGGCTGTCATAGGGGATTCAGTCAGCACAGGAGGACTGCAGTTCTGAGCACCTGCCAGTAATATGCACCAGACCCTGCCTGAACACCAGACCTGAATACTGGTCTAACTTTTAGCTACCATCTTACTATAAAAGAATCAGTAGAAATGTGATAAATGTAACACATGAAGGGAGAGAGGTTTCCTCCCGTGTCACTGCATCAGCACCAAAGGGGTCAGCAGTATGGGCAAAACTCAGTGAAGTCCCGTACTATTAATCAACTCCCTGTCCACAGCCACCTCATTTTCCACTTCATAACCAGTTTCACCCCCCAGCTTTTTAGCCCTGAGGCCATTGGAATTGTTCAGCCACACAGTCATTTCCCGTTCAGGAATGCGGCCTGGGATGTGCAGAGCATGGAGGGGTAAAAAAAAAAAAATAACACAAAAAGCCGTGAGAAGGCCAGGGCTTGTCACGAGCCGGGGAGTGGAGAGCGGGGAATAATTTCCCCTCTACATTAGTGCAGGTGGCTTGGCTACTAAGAGTGCCAGGAGGCAGGAACAGGGGCTCCCAGTTGTGCCATTTTACCTGCGGAGGTCTTGCCCCGTACACCGAACCTTACCAGAAAGGCAGAAGAAACCGCAGGACTCATACACATTTACACTTGGGCTGCGTTTTCCCCCTCGTGTGGCCATTCCTCCCCCCATCTCTTCCACGCCTCTTCAGGGCCAAAGTCCCAGACCCGAAGGCAAACCTCGGTTAACAGAGATGACACAACATCACCTCCAGAACGCTCCCGCCAGTCCCCTTACCATCACCTTCGAAGAAAGACAAGAAGGGGAAGAAAGGCTGTGACAGCCAGCCCCGCACAGACCGGCCCTCCAGAGCACTCGGCCGCCCCCTCCCCGCCCGGGGCGCCCCCCGCCCGCTCTCACCTTGGCCGGCGCGGGGTCCGTGCCGGCGGGCAGGGCGCTGGCTGGCGCAGCCGGCGCCTCCCGGGGCTCCCGGCCCCGCGGGCTGGCCCTGGGCGCGGCGGCTGCGCGCGGCCGCAGGGCGGCAGGCAGGTGCCCAGCACGACTCCTGTCCCATTCAGCACTTTGCCATTCCCTCCTCGGTTTCCCTCGAACGGGAGAGCCCGGCTCAAATATCAGAGCCGGCCCTCCCGAGGAGCGCAGGAACTGACATCACCCGCCCCGGGCTTTTAACCCCTTCTCGGGCTCGGCGGTGAGGCAGGTGGGGCGGGCGGCGCCGGGTGCCGGGGCAGCCCGGCCCAGAGGAGAGAGCGGCAGCCACGCTCTGCCGCGGGCGGAGACATCCTCCTCTCCGCCCACCCTGCACCCTCAGGGGCTGCCACCGAGTCTCCGGAGATCCCCTTTGCAGTTACCTTCCAGCCCTCGGAGCCGATGTTCCCAAACAGACCGCCAGAGTTGTGGTGTTTTTTCGTGGAGCGGCCGGGCAGGCAGCTGGCATCCACAGCAGCACGCTGCCCTCACCGTCCGCTGCAGCCGTGAGGGGCTGGTGGCTCGTTCCAGGCTCCAGCCGAAGCTCCCTTCACTGCCTGTAGGCAGTCCCAGGGCATGAGGCTGGTGCCGGGATAGAGATTAAAATCTAAGTAATGTAATGACGCCTCTCCTGACCAGAGGACACCATCCTGCCCCACGTACTTGTGCTATCTCCCATATGAAATGGCTCAAACGAACAGGTCCAGGGCCACAAGCATTTCTAATGATAGCTGCCAGCACACAGAACATTTTATTCAGTCATCAGGCCACTACGTATAGAGCTACTTCACATGCAGCAATCCCTTACATGAATATACAGTGACTTACCAGAATTTATATTACGTGTGTTATACAAAGACCTGGTAATCTCGCTGCCTGTTGGGGAAGGGCTGCACCAGAATGATGATGTCTTGAACGATTATGAGAGATCCATGAATGCTCTGAAACTGTACCTCGGCTCCTGTTGAGAGCTCAAGCAAATGAGCTCTCGCAAAACAAGGCAGGCTGAAATAAACAGGCTTCAACAACCTGTGGAGGAAGAGGCAGGAGAACTGAACAAAAGTATCTCCTAGTACAGTAAGCAACACTATTCACTAGTCCTGGTTAAACAAGATCATAATTGTTCTGTTTATTAAACTTGCATTGTAAATTCTTTCCTCGTGTTGATGTCTCAGCAGAGAAACAGTGGGTATCAAATCACTTACTGTGTGCACAAATGAAAAGATTGAAGTGAATAAATGGTTAAAATATAAAAATATAACTAAAAACATAAGGTCAAGATTTGGACACTGGAGTGAATAAAGGCAGACTCTGAAATCTACACCTCATTATCCAAATAAATAGTCAGATTTCCAAAGACTCTGAGGACGCTGCAGTTTCCTAAAGATGGTTTCGGTTTAGATTTCTCATCAATTTCCAGTTTCATGGGAATTTGGTTGAATGAAGTTGCCTGTTCCTTTCTAGCTAAAAGACAAAGCATACATTATAGAGCTGGTTCAGGCATAGAGCAGGATAGCACTACAAAGAGGTGGCTGGAGAGCCAAATGGAGACAGGCAAAGAACTGAAAAGAAATAGGCATCTGGTGAGGAGATCTCTCATTTGGCCAGCTGAGCAAGGACAGGCAGGAATATAGCCAGAGATGGAGCTGGCTGTTGGGACAGTATCACCCAAAGAGATTTCTCTGTCAATTCCCAGTAGAAGGGACTCCAGTTGCCTACAGTCTGTGTGTTGAGTGTGAGCCTGTATCAATCATTATTCCCAGTTATCAAAGAATTGTAATAAATAACCAGAAGCAGCACAAATTGTATCTCCCTTTAGGTATTTCAGAGGGCAAAAGCTAACTTCACCCTTTACAGAATCCCCTCCTGAATTGAGGCTGACCAAAGACAAAGTGGGAAAAGCAACTATTCCCTTCATGTTCCCCATCCTATTCCTGCTCCTTTCAGCCACAGCATGCAAACACAGTACTTCTTAATCTGAATTTTATGAGGTATTTTTATTCTTCCTTTAAAGGCACTGGTCAAGTTCTCTCATTTGCACCAGCAAAGCCAACCAGATCGTATCACTTACTGAAATGTCAATCTGGCCTTGTGTTTTTCCCAGGCAATGAAGCTTGACTGCCAGGACATTCCTCAGCCACTGAACTTTATACAAAGTACCTCCCCAAGAATTGCCTGCACACACACCTTGCTTTAACCCCTGGAGGCCCAGAACCACATCGGCACTCACACAACCTGCTGCTGTGTATTTAATGCAATTATTCTTCAAAGCCGTGCCTCCTTATGTCTTCTGTTGCTTCTGTTAAAGTATTTTTAAAAATTATTATTAAAAAAATAAAATTGTGGCTTCCATTAAACAATGCAAATAGAAAAGTAGTTTGGAGTTCAGATGGAGAAGGTTGTAAGAAGAGCAAGTAGTATCTCATTGTTCCCAAGTGATTTCCCTCGGCAGTTATCTTTAATATGGCTGCTCAAGCACTGTATATCAGGTCTTTCCAATTTGCAGACAAATCATTCAGCAAAAAATAAAATTTACTATAAACAGCAAATATCTTACTAACAAAACAAATTCACTGGCAGATCCAAGAGAACTAGTACTGTTAGACTATCATTATCACAACGCAAGCACAGGCTGCTTTGTTAAGAGGACCATATCCAAGATACCGAAATAGAAGGACAAAGAGATAAATGAGAACGAGATGTCAGAAGATGAGAGCAGAAGAAACTCTTTCTCTTAGTAAGCAAAATTGTCACAGTTCTGCAGGTGGGAGAGAGCATTGCGTTCCAGACACAGCACTGCTGAAAACTTACCAACGGGGCAAGGACACCAGCCAGACCAAAAGTCCATGCGTCAGAGCTCCACAGAAGGCTCAATCCTATGTGGGAAAAAACTTGCACAAAAACAAGACAGGACCTTGAAACATGTGTTTGAGGTACTTATCTCTCTCCACCGGCAACTTAGGCTTCATACTAGTTCTCTGAATTCCACTGATGTTACAGGCTTCAAGATGCTGAAAATAGCCTTTGTGCCTAATTCCTTTACTCTCTTTCTCCTGGGCTTGCAGTGTGCTGACAGACAGAACACAGACTTGCAACCCCCTGCCTTGCTTCCCTTCTAATCAGCAATGACAAGCTCAAGCAGCAGAAAAATAAGAGACTGGCAGCTGTGGATCACCTCACTGCAAACTAGTTGCTCGTGGGAGGACCCAGTGGGAGGGCCAGGAAACCATTGCCCTCAGGTACTTTGTCAGCTGGTTTTGATTGCATTATGGTCATCTTGTCACACTTCACACACAAAGACACTTATGTCTACTATTCAAGCCAGAATTTGAGCAAGAGCATATGTTTTATATATACAGTCTTGACTGGCACGGAGCAAAACAATGGAAAATTCCCATTTTCCTTAGGGAGTCATCCCAGGGGCAACTTCAGTGTTATTCTCAGTATTAATAGCTCTCTCCTTGCTTCATCTCTGGATTTCTCCAGTTTCGGCTTCCACATACCAGATTTCATTATGTCTTTTCCTGATAGAATAAGAAGCCATCAACTATCATTAAAGCAGCCTGTGATAAAAAACTTAACTCTCTCTTCTATAAAAATACGGAGATATAACATCTCTCACAATAATTAATGTTTTCTAGTGCCCGTATTCTCATTGGTTTATCTAGAACATAGATTAGACAACTGGTGCTTAAAAAGTCAGTTTGGGATTGTTATCAGCATGTTGGTGTGTACCTGTTCAACTCCTGTTTCAGAGTGGGGAAGAAAGAAGGATGGCATGTGGGAGTCTTCAAGCTGAGGAGAAGGAAAACAGTCCTTGCAAGTATATTTGTTTTGTGTGGTCTTTTTGTGCCTGGCATTGGCTGGTATGCAGCCCAAAACGTTCCCACATACCACAGCACTCTTTGAATCTGTTTCTGAGTCTACAGCCTACAGCAGTAACTGCTGTGCAACTGGTGCTGTACATGATGAATGTCACAGGTAAACTGTGTCACGTCCAGATGCTGCAACTATGCAGACAGAGATGGCTGAACAACACTCACAAAACTGAATGTTGTTGCCCTAAGGTTGAGGGGCCTGGCTGCTCATGCTGAGGTAAAGGAGGCATTGAAAGAGGGTGGTGGAGCTGTGACAAGGTGCTGGAAGGAATCGTGAAGAGCCCTGGAGCGTTGCACCTGTGGCTCTGGCAGCCCCGGTGATGTGAGGGATGGCCACAGTTCTGCTGCAAGAGAGAGAGTCCATATCCCTCAGCCCTTCCTTGAGAGGCAGCAACAGGTCTTTCCCTTTCCAGAGAGAGGGAAGCTCGGGCAAAGTAGGCAGCAGCCTATGGTAATTTTGCTTCCCCAGGTATCCTGTGAAATGTAAATAGGCAAATACCTGTCTACAGAGTTGTCTCTGGAAGCACAGTGCAAAAAGCTGCACCAGAGAAAGAGACCCAAACAACATGGGGGAGCAAGGAACTGATTATAGATTACTGGTTTGAATTCAAGCCAAGTAAAAGAAATATCCTCTGGTCAGCTACCCTCTGACATGCAGCAGCAGTGACTGCTGTATGGACAGACTGGTCATCTCAGCCCAGTTCTTAAACATCACCTGTCTGAGGCACATGTTTGTAAGGAGTGAGTGCTGAGGAGGCAATAGCGGGTGCTGCAGGTCACCAGAGGAGCTCCATGGTATAGCATAGACCCGTATTACTGCTGTTGTTCATTACAGTTCTGCATTGACCCATCACTGCAAATAGCTTCTCAGCACAAAAACCTAGACATGAAGAGATCATGGGGAGTGAACTCGTGTGTCTGATCCTCACTAGAGTTTGTGAAAAGAGTTGCTGGATGGAAGAGGCTTGGGTAGGCCAGGAGAAGGTGTTGTCCTTGTCCATGGCAGAGCTAGGGGAAATACCATTTCAAAGATTGTTAAATCAATACTCTCAGTAAAGAGGAAAGCAGGTCCCAGCTTGCCCTCTGC